CAACGCACTCTAGCCTTACGCGGACCGCGTGGCGACGGCGATCGAGGCGGGCTCTCTCGGTGGCGTCGGCGGACGTGCAGCCGTCGTCGCTCGATCGGTGCGGCGTGCCCGATCGAGGGCTACGCGGTGGGACCCCGGCCGGGTCGGGCGCCGTTCGCTGGACGCGCGAGGCACGCAGCTTGGGAAGGCTGGTAAAAATACCCGCGAGATGCGGTGCGGTTCACGAGGGGGTTCGTACATGCACATGCAGTGTCCGAGGCGTGATTTTCGAGGGTTCGCGACAAGTGGTGGGGTGGGGGCGTGCGGAGGGAAAGCGCGGCCTGTGCAGCGACGTCGTCGTGTCTCCATCCCGAGGGCGAGAGCGCGACGGCCGCGTGGACGAAGACGACGACGACGACGCGTTACGGGGACGCTCGCGGAGGCAGATGCTCGTGGGCGTTGGCGGGACGGACGTCGGCGACGGAGGAGTTGCACTGGACATAGTGTGGCAGCGGGCACGGCAAACGCCACCTCCGATCGATCGACAGGCGGATGCATGACAGGAGTCCAGGCCGCTGCCAGAGCAGAACAAGGCAAGGTGCGCAGGCGCACGCGAGTCCCCCCGCCACGCCACCCACTCGCGAGCCGGATCGGAGCTCGGGGTCGACAGAACGACGGCGGCGACGGCGACGAGCACCGGTCGGCGTCGCCTCGTAGTGACTCTCAGTCTGAGCGGGACCGGACGCCTGGCGGGAAGGGCCGGCGTCGGCATGGCGAGCTTGACTTTTGAGCACCACTTCGGATGCTGTGCACGATGCGCTAAAGTATGTCGCTCGCGCGTGGGGACGCTACTCCGAGGCGCTCGCTCGCTGCCGGCTCTACACCTGCGCACGACGAAAGCGGCCGCGTGAGCTGCGAGCAACCAGAGCCTCGAGCACGAAAAGAACGCACACGAGCAGCACATTGATGTCAGCAGCGGCACGCGCGTCCGGCGAGCCTGTGGCTGATTAAACCCATGGCCGTGGCTGCCAGAGTCTCAACCCCGCCTGAGTTGCGGCCTGCCAAGCTCCGAGCTCCGTCGAGCGTGCGCTCCAATCTTTCGAGCTTGACGTTGGGCTGATGGGTTGAACGTGATGCATCGCGTGATCCCGCGGACCGCGCCCGCACGCCCTCAAGCCCACACAGACCGCGGCGGGCTCCCCGGGCGAGGAAGCTTGAATGAATCGCAGCGCCTCGGCGGGCAGAAAACGGCGGGCGCTGGAGCTTGCCAGCGATTGGGTTCGACTCGGATCTTCCGGGGATCGCGCGCGGTCCGGCCGGTTGGATTGGGCGAGCGTACTCGGACTGTCGGTTTGTGGAACGCCTGCGCTTCGAATTATGAGCGTGGCCCTCAGGTCGATGTGGTTGACGTGGTTCGAGAGCTGATGCGGTTTCCAGACCCCCGTCCCGGCGAGCGTTCAGAGGGTATGATTTATGAATTGTAGACGGAGGTGGAGCGGATGTACGCAGTCCGATGAAGCGCTGGCGTCAAGTCGTCCCGCCGGGGCATGGTCGGCGCGACCGGAGGAGAGTGACCGTTTGTTTTTTCCAGGGCTTGGCTCCGTACCTCCGCGTAAAAATCTGTTCCGATGACGCCTCCTTTCTCCCGCTTTGGTGGCCTGACTCGAAGGACACTGCCTGTAATGCGCGTTTACCATCGGGCTCTACCATCGAGGGCGTTAAACGAGGACGACCAAAAAAAAACAAGCCCACCGGCGGCCACGCACGGGTGCATTCGAACCCGACGTCCGGTACCCAGCACCCGGCATCATCGTTGGCGTTGAGGTCCCGCGGTCCGGCCCCGCATCCACCACGAGCGCACAGCGCCGAGCGGGTTACACAGCGGCCCTCGCGCTATCCTGCCGGCCTCCGAGAGAAAAAAATAGTCAGGGACATACTGGCACGCCACGCTGAACCCCGCCGCGGCCGACATACCAGCACCCGAACAGACGCGACCCGGGGGTCGGTGGCCCAGTCGACCTTGTATTTTAACCGCCCCCGGCGCCCAGCCTAACCCAACGCTCAGCGCTCAGCGCGCGGTGGCAGCCGGAGCGAGGTCCGCGAGTCGCGACGCAGCCTCGCGTGCGGTTTCAGGCGCCGCGGCGGCCCTGCGACCCTGCGAGGCCGACCAAGACTCGCATGTGTGGCGCGTTTGCTGAACGAGGGGCCAGGGCATTGAGCAGAGTGGAGCCTCCTGCGCATGATTCGTCAGCGAGAGCCGGTGCGTGCTGCGGTCGGAGAGACTGCGACCGACCCACCGCACCCCTCGGCCCCTCCATTGTCTAGACGGTTTTTGCATCCAGCTAGATCTCCGCCTGGCCTCGGGTCGCCCGGGCTTCACTCGGGCGAGCAGAGCGGGCACTGGCGGGCCGCCGTGGTGCGCAGCGCCCTCGGTCCGCGCGGGGTCGGACGGGCTCGGAATCGAGCAGGCGGGCCCGGGCGAGGACAGACGGGTGTTGTGCAAGTGTGGCGCTGTTGGTCCTTGAATGAACGGGCCGAGGCGGGCATACAAGCTGCGACCCGCGGAAGATTCGGAGAGGCATGCTAACCGCGCACGGGCTTCGAGGCGCGCGCCTCGCTCGACGGCGAATCCGGAGGGGTGCCGAGTTCGGTACGTCGGCCACGGAGGCCCAGAGGGACGCGCCGCGCGCGCGAAGATCGAGAGAGTCGCCGGGATCGCGCGCGGGGGTGGCATCACATATGGGCGTGCGTGGTGCTACCGCGGTGCGGAGGACCTCCGGGGCGCGCGGTTCGTGTCGGTGGTGCGGCCGGGCTCCGCGGACGAGGCCGGGGTGCTCGCGAGTGCGCGGGCGCTCCGATGCGGTTGCAGTTGCGGTGCCCGGATCCCGAGGTGCTAGTGCTCGACGGTCCGACGGACGCGCTTGGCCGTGGCCGGGACTCGAGCGGCGTCGGGTATGGCGGACGCACGCGTCGCTGCCGGGCGGGCGGGCGCACCGGGGCCAGTCGTGGGCTGCACCGCTTGCGGCGTGCGGGGCGAGGGTGGTTCTGCGCCGTGGTGGCGGCGGGCTGGGAGGAACGACGGGCGTGGTGGTCGCTTGGCGGGTCCCGCCGGCCGTCTCGAGGGCGCGATCAGGGATCCCGAGTGTGGGGGTCTGGCCGGGGAGCGTCCGCCGTCCATTGGCTGGTGAAGCTGACAAGACGTGGGGCATTGGGACGGTAGGGGCGGCGTGCGGCGTGCACTGTGAGGCTGGGTGGAATGAGTCGACGGCAGATGAATTTGATGTTCGTTCGCGGTGGCGCAGGGAAGCCGCGGGAGGCCGTGGTGGTGATGTCGGCTTCAGAGCGAGCGAGCGAGAGATGGCATGGGCAGTTGAGGTCGCAGCGGGGAAGGTGATGGTATGGGAGAGAGGGCGCTCCTGGACGTCGGAGTTGAAATGACGAGACTCGAACGAGGGAGATCGGAAGGCGGGGTTTGCAAAGAGGTTGATAGATCCGGAGATGGAAGGAGGCTTCGCAACTCCGCGATTTTCGCACAGCCCAAGATTGAAGTAATGGTTTAGGACCACACTGCGATTTCTATGCATGCGGTCAGTGCTGTGGGAGATCTAATCACGACTGCCTGAGCCACGTGCGAATTCAAAATCTCACCGCGGGCGGTGTCTTCCAACTTTGATCGAACTCTACTTTCCCTGTGGAATGCCGTACGCAGGCCCATTTGACAGCAAGCTGCGAACGGTCGCCAAAAGAACAGGATAAGCGTTGATGTGTACAGCAGCAGACCGTAGTCGACCCTGGATGAATGAAGCTCAATCAGCCAACGTCGAAGCAGAGGAGAACTCAGTCAGGCCAAGGCCCACAGTCCGACTGCGGTCTTGCAGGGAGTGATATGTAGACAACACCGCGGGAGAAAACTGTCCCGACGTCTATGTGGATCGTTGGGAGTGCTCACATAACAGCTTGTGGAGTCCCGGTCGCCGCTAAAGGTGGGGACTCAAGTCAGCCATCGCCTCGGAGCGGCTTGTCGAAGGAGAGGGATAAATAATGTTTGTCTCCTTCGGGTTTTTGAGAGGTGCAGATGTACACATACCTTTGTAGTCTCGAATATGACCGCTTCGGGCCTCAGGCCTTGGGCCCTCAGTGCGCACGCTGGTAATTTCGAGCCGCTGTTTTATAAAGCGAAGGCCATTGCTTGAGGTCGGTGATGAGACACTTGTCTGGCTTGATACGTTCGAGGCATTGGAAATTTGAGGGGGCAGCAGTAAATGGGATTGTGGTGGGACATAGCAAGATACTGGCAGAGCCCATCGCTGATCTTCACTTCACACGTCGGCGCCTGATCACCGGGCCGAAGATTACCGATGGCAGTAGGTGTGAGGCACAGAGAACCCAATAGACAAGGGCTTATACTATGTCGCCGACCGGTACATCAGACTCGCTCATATGCCAGCATAAATGCCGGGTACGCAAGCAAACCTCCAGAGCTCATTGGAGGCCGTTCTGAGATTTGAGGAACAGCGTGAGCTTCCCCGCATCGGCTTCACGGCGTATCACCGCTCTTCCATACCACGACCCATAATCCCGCACACACCTCGGCTGACTGACTTCACTGGGACTTTTGTAGTCGCTTGTGATGGGAGGTGACACCGGCCACCCGACTCCCGAGCGATGACCGCGCAGGTGCAACATCTTGAAAGGGTTAGTCATCGCTGACTCGTCCGCATGATTCGCTCTCCCATCCTCCCGGCCAATCGCAGCCTCCGCGCGAGTGCCCTTAAGGACCTGTGCGACTCATCTAGACAATTGCAGGCGTTCGTCCTCACGTCCAGTTCGACCCGCCTCTCTTTTCACCTCGAGCTGCCTGGTCCCTCACACCTCGAGCCGTCTGGTCCCACACCTCGACTTATCTCTGCTCCGCCCCGCACTGCTTCCCTCCCTTTTCCGCCCGCATCCTTCAAAACCTCGCACCTGCATCCTCTCACCCCCTCCGTGCCCCGCAAGTCATCCAACACATAATGTCCGACATGCGCGAGAAGAGCCTCGAGCCCATCGACGTCGAGACGAAGGGCGGTAAGGATATGGAAACGCCGGTACCCTCCGCCTACTCTTCCACTGCCGATCTCTTCGAAACCGGAACCGTCGACCCAGTATACCAAGCGAAGGCGCGGATCCTCAATGCTACGATGCAGGAGATGGGTATGGGGAAGTACCAGGTGTGCTGCGTTGCTTTTCGGGAGCGTGTACATGAACGAACGAGCTACAATTTTTCAGTGGTGGCTTTTCGCGATCGCCGGCTTCGGATGGTTCGCGTACGTTTGTCCTCTTCGTTCGCGCGTCTTCCTCCGTTTGACGCCTCGCGTTTGTTTACAGCGACAGCGTGTGGCCTGTAAGTGCGGCGCGCGGGCGTACTTCCAGGATTGGCTGACACCCCACCAACAGCTTCTGAGCGGACTGATCCTGAGCCCCGTCCTCAGTGAATTCCAGTTCAGCAGCCCTTTCCTCTCACTCGCGCAAAACGTCGGGCTACTCGTCGGAGCGATCTTCTGGGGACTTGGATGCGACATCTGGGGAAGGAGGTTCGTCCATTTCGTTCTCTCACTTCTCTGCACCCTCCAACCATATCGCGAAAAGATGGTCATTCAACATCACGCTCTTCCTCGCGGGTGTCTTCGGTCTTGCGGCAGGCGGCGCGCCCAACTTCATCGCGCTCGCGTCTCTCCTCGCGGTGGTGGGTCTCGGAGTGGGTGGGAACCTCCCAGTGGATTCCGCGGTCTTCCTCGACTTCGTCCCCGGCTCGCACCAGTACCTCCTCACCATTCTCTCCATCTGGTGGTCCGTCGGCCAGCTCGTCGTCGACCTGGTGAGTCGCATCCGCCCAGTTGCGCCTCCCTCGCGCTCACTCGCGTCTCCAGATCGCATGGCCCCTCATCGCCAACTTCTCCTGCGACCCCTCCGCCCCCGCCGGCACCTGCACCCGCGCGGGCAACATGGGCTGGCGCTACCTCCTGTTCACCCTTGGGGGCATGACGCTCCTCCTGTGGGCGATCCGCTTCTTCGTGTTCCCGCTCGAGGAGTCGCCCCGCTTCCTCATCGGCCGCGGGCGCGATGCAGAGGCCGTCGCGGTTGTGCAGCGCGTGGCAAAGTTCAACGGGGTCGAATGCTCGCTCACGGTCGAGCAGCTGGAACGGGCGGGCGACGCGGCGCTCGATGCTGCAGGCCAAGACCAGGATAAGAAGGCGACGCGCGTCTTGAGCGAGAGCTCGGTGTTTACGGGGGAGCACGTCAAGGCTTTGTTCGCAACGCCGAAGCTTGCGTGGTCGACGTCACTGCTTATTGCTATTTGGTGTAAGTGTTCCCTTAGTGCGCGTGGGTTCGAATGGGTCTTGACACGGTTTTGGACAGGTATCATTGGTTTGGCTTCGACGCTGTACAACAGTTTCCTGCCTTTCCTCCTAGCTAGCCGCGGCGCAGAATTCGGCGACAGCTCATACAACATCACGTACCGCAACGTCCGTCCTCTTTCCCCGATGATCTCGTCTCCTTCCTGACCTTCCTCTACCACCACAGCAAGTCATCTTGGCCGTGATCGGCGTCCCCGGTGCGTTCTTCGCCGGGTGGCTCGTCGAGCAGCGCTTCGTCGGCCGCAAGGGCGCGCTGGCCATCTCCGCGGGCGAGTATTTCGCCCCCTCTCACGCCCGTCCATTATTCAACGACCCCCTCGCGTAACCTAGGGCTCACGGGTGTCTTTTTATTCGCGTCGACCACCGCGAGGAGCTCCAACGCGCTCCTCGGCTGGAACTGCGGCTACTCGTTCTTCAGCAACGTGAGCGGCCTTCCGCTCTGCGTGCGCGGGCGACGCTGACGTTCCACGGACGGACGCGCAGATCATGTACGGCGTCCTCTACGCCATCTCGCCCGAGCTCTTCCCCGCCAAGGACCGCGGCACGGGTAACGGGCTCACCGCGACCGCGACGCGCATCTTCGGCATCATTGTGCGTGCTCTGTCCGCCTCCCCCTACCTTCGCGCACAGCTGACACATAGGGACGATAGGCCCCCGTGATCGCGTTGTACGCCAACCTCGAGACCGCGGTGCCCGTCTACGTCTCGGGCGGGCTCATCATCGGCTCTGGGGCGCTCGCGCTCCTGCTCCCGTACGAGCCCGCGGCAAGGCCACCATTTAAGTAGATTTTAGACTTTAAAGGACACCGCACGCCGTGCGGCATGAACAAGGTAAGTATATTCGTGTGGACTGCGACCGCGACCATGTCGTGGTCGTGGACGCAAAATCGTGTAGAGTTTCTTCTTGCTTGCACATTCACGACATTTCGGGTGCATTATACATACCTTTGGATGGTGTACCTGTAGATACCGCTGCTGTTTGTTGGTCGCTCCATAATGTCGGTATGATCTATGGACGACGATGTCATGAAATGAATGAAATCCCTCTTCCTCTCACCATGGACCCCTAGTCGTCGTTCTCCGTGTCTCCATTGCTGAAGATAGCGTCACGATCAATCGGTACACGGTTTTTGCATCAGGTAGGTCTGTGTGTCAAGCGGGGTCTGGCAGCTCTAACTCATGCCTCCCCCAGATCGCTGTCCTCTCCCTTTGTTACTCTGCCCACCTTCGTCGACACCAACAAATCTACTAATCACTAGTAGCGTGACGGTCGTTCACTTCCTCTACATCTAAATACCATGGTTACTCTACGCAACACTCAACACACAAGGGGACGCTCCTTACAGCACTAACGAGGACGCAGAGAATGAAGTTGGTGCTGTGCCATACGAGTACTCGGCGCCACTGACTCCTCCGTCCTGAAGGCACGTCCAGCGCGTTGACTTGTCCCTTGGCAGTCAATAATCGAATCAATTATCAAGAATGCCACATTTGAACAATGGAGACTAGTGGCTCCCCTCCCAAGAACGTGAATGTTACTATTACGTACATGTATGCATTGCAGTGGTGCGTCGAATGACGAACGGTACGATCTGGTTAACCACCACCCGTCGACGACGTTCCCTGCATGTGAGGTCCATATTCAGGCCTCAAACATTTGAACTCTTGAGCGGGAGCGCGCCTAGTAGTAGTACTAGTACTATACTAGGTGTACCCGTGAGTGGTTGAAGCGCTCACTCCTAGCTCCTCCGTCGCTCTCGTCGACCTTCCCCTGAAGCTTCGTTCTCCTCATACTCTGCTTACCTCCATCATGTCGCCCACGTCCTCTAAATAGCCCCTCAACTCTCCAAGTTTGGGACTCATCGTCTGGGCTATACTCGACTTGCTTTGGGCCTTCCTCCGCGATGCGGGCAAATTGCTTTGGAAGCGGGCCTTTGGTTCCCCAACGAAGACTGTGCCTAGGTTCAGCCCTGAATCTGCACAGGAAGGTACCATCGCTCTGGTTTGTACCACCGACTAGACTGCTATAATCGCTAGCTCATATTGCGTGTAGCTCGACAAGCTCTCATCGTGCTGTGTCGTCGACACCAAGTCCTGGAACACACGTGAGTAATGGTGCCGCACCGTGATGCAAGTGCTCATGGGTCCTGCGGATTAGTCGGTGCTGGCCCGTGTGAGCTTTTTGATAATATAGAGGACAAGAGTCCTTTGCCCGATGACTGGCTCCCCATCCCCACGAATATTAGCATTCGTTCCGCATTGTACGGCGATTCAGTGTACGGCCGCATTCTCAAAGGCAACGAAGTCGTGAGTTTTTCCCGCCCTCGACACTCTCTGCGCGTGCTGATTTCCGTTTCAGTTCTACAACGCGGCCACGCAGTTTGATTACCACCTTATTGTCCTCTCCCGGACGCGCCAGCCTGCCAAGGACTCGCCTGCTCAGAGTTCGAGCACGGCAGGAGTCGAAAACATGCAGTGGTTTCGTGGCCCCATCCCTTTCAGCTCCCCGTATCAATGCGCCATCGCCTACACGGGAAAGAAGCTGCTCCAACTCTTCCCCGACGGACGATTAGACTGCTCCGTTTTCCCCGGGGTCGATCTCAACGTGCTCGCTAGTATGGGCGAGACTTTGTCTATCTATATAACTTGGATCACAGCATCGCCGCCGCCTGCGTATCTGTCGACTCTTCGCTGTCCCGACCAAGGCGGTACAGCAACTACGAGCCGCTCCAGCCCACGGGAGGTCAATCTTGCGCCGGAGCCGAATCCTCAGACACCTTCGCCGTAGTCACGCACCTCTGCTCGTCCTCACGTGAGGCGCCGTTATATAATGTAGGAGCTTGTTACGATATTGTAGTCCTCCAAGGATGTTCGATACTTGTGTGTATGAACTTGTGCCCATGGAAGATATCTTGGGCACCGCGGTTTCCCAGGACAGCAAAAACCCTGAATCGACTCTCAACCTCTCCGACCTCACCTTCTTTGTCCTCCCGTAGTAGACGCTCGAAGAAATTATCCGCGGCCTCCCGTCTCCCTCTACCTCTATATTACGGCCCGTGTCCCCCGCGTCTCCATCCAATGTTTCTCAGTCTGCGTATTCCCTCGTAGTACGTTCCCATGCCCCTAATTCAATGTGTTGCCATCTTTCATAAATCAGAGAGCACATGCTAAACAGCCAATATTCGAACGTGGTTACAGCATACTGCTTCAGAACCGGCCAAGGAACGTGCATCATGAAGAACCACCGGAGATATCATTACAGACATGAATGCGCTATCCGCTGCATACCGCACAAGAAGACCGCAGGGCAATACGTGTCTATATTCACCTATTACCACGAGTCCGTATCCCACCTGTCTTCATCTTCGCTCGCCGAGAGCGAGGTATGATGGACGTCGGCGGAGCGACCATGGCGCCCCGTCTCCGCAAAGGTTTCCTAGCCCTGCGCGCGGGGCAAGACTGCTTGACCGAATGTTGTGCGTCCTCCCAGACACCCAGAAGAAGTCGATGTGTCCGTCTCTTCCCCACACAGACTTGTCTCATCTACTATTCCAAGCGTGCCCATCCTGGACACTAAGCCGTCCGAGGGAGCGACGCCTTCCATCTCGGACCTCGAGTTGCTAGACGCAGGTGCGTCGTCTGCAAGAGGTGGAGGGGCGTCGTTCTTGTCGCGGCCTTCATCTTGGATTGAAGACATCCACGAAGGGGGCTGGCTTACTTTCATCCATGTACGGTACGTTTGCAGCACCATAGTCATGGCGGTGACCGCGTCAATAGGGAGGTTGGTGAACATGGAGGGCTGAAAAGTGTCGTCTTCGAAGAGAGAGGACAGTCTCTTGCCGGTGACGATAATGGTGTCATGGTAGGGGGCGTGGAACGGGACGGGGCCCTCGATGTATCGGACGTCGTCGTGAGGGCCTTCGTTGCTCACTCTCGAGTCCCGGCACATCCTGCTAGGGAGGACAACTAGGTCATACTCAAACTGGATGCCGTCGTCATCGTAGTACTACAGACGTGACTCGTCAGCGCGAGTGGGGAACGTCGACGATTGGCGCAGACTCACATAGGCGAGATCACGGCGCTCATCGTCAGGGCAGGCCTCAAAGGACCAATCAACCCAGAATTGCCCGAGGATGCTCGCGTCCCTCGGAAGGGGAGCAACTCTCCCAAGGCGATACCCTGACAAGCCTATATTAACCGAGGAGCTCGGTGGACAAGCCAATTCACATAACACACCTTTAAAACAGACTCGGACTGCATAAATTCGTTGGGTCGGCATCGACCTTCGTCTTTGAAGCGTGTTGGGCCTTCTCGTCCTCTCCTTAGTCAGGGGCGACCCTGTGTGTGGAGTAATTGCGTAGAGCGACCATGGTGTATGGAGGCACGAGCAACCGTGACGCCACAGGCAGGATGGGAGATATCTCGATGCCTTGTAGGTGCGGAAGGAAGCGTAATAAGGCAGCTGAAGGAGGGGCGGAGGGAATGAGAGATGCCACCGGTCCCAAGGGGCCCGCTGTGAGATCGCAGCCACACAAAGGAGGCGTCCGCCGCCAGTACTCCCCGTGCTCATCGCTGCCATCTGGCAATTGCCTGTCTCATCTCTTCGTGCAGGCCCCCGCGAATGCGAGCAGATGCCGATTCGAGGTCCTGAATCTGAAGCTTTGAAACTTGAATGTTTGAGCTTGGTTGAACTTTTTGGAGCGGGAGCGCCCCAGATTCCTCCTTTGTGTGCTGACAAATCTGCGGTGTTTGCCGATGGGACCCGGCAGTTTCCCTCCTGTTCCACGTGCACGGCGATCACTATCAAGCCAATGCACTCGCACTTGCTCTCTTCCCCAGTCCACCCCTCTTCCCTTCTAACTCGTACCCCATTATCAAACTATCTTCCTCATAACGCGACCCGACATGTGTCAAATCTCGGATGCTGATGAAGCTAGCGGCGTGTTTTTAACGCAAATGAGTTTCATTGTTACTTACGGATCTCAACATCTGACCTCGACAAGTTAAGCTGTAATCATCTCGTTTTGAACACAACGGGCGAGCTGCGTACCTGACCTCTAAGACGTGCAAACCTCGTGGTTCTCAAACATGATGAACCATGGTCAGTCCACCCCACAACCACTACGAGGCTTGGAGGCGTGGACTCGAAGACTAACAAAGCCGCTTTGTGCTCTTGCCAGCATGCCAACCTTCCTCCGTCTCACCTACACCAGCCTTGCCTTCACTACCGCCACTGCGCCTCCGCCGCTGCAACTAGGAGCCACTAATGACCACCATGTCCCCTCGGCTCTCCTCGTCCTCCCTTACCGCTTCCAACTCGTCCACCACTGATGCTTTGCGCACCCTTCATCCCGATGCTACTTCCCCATCGACATTACGGGCGTTTCGAGACGCCTTCACCACGGAACCCGCGGAAAACGACGGGGTTGCCCAAATCCGGACATTCTTCGCAATCTGGAGCCACCAAGCGAGTCCGGAGACCCTAAGAGACCTTTCTGGTTTCTCCACCATATGACCGGGGTCCAGCATCTTATCCTCCACGTACCCCTGGGGCAATGCCGCGTCCCGCTCGGCCGTCTCCGCAGCCTCGTCTCGCTCAACACCGACGCCGCATTACTCCGCGCGCTAAGTGCACCGCTGCCCCCGCTTCGCGCGCTGAGCGTGTACGTGCGCGCGGGGGCGGACGAGCACGCGGCGTATCGCAGGATATCGCGCCTGTTCGAGACCACCCTCACGCGGCTGCGGGTCATGCGTTCGTGGACGGAGGAGCAGAGTTTCGCGGAGGACTCTCCGGCGCGCGTGTGCGCTACGCTCGGGATTGTAGGCTGGAGTATTTGGAGGTGCTCGACTTGGCGGCGGAGGTACGTCTCCTTTGCGCGGTTGTGGAGGCACAGTTTTCAACCTGTCTTTGCGTGCTCCAGTCGACGGTCGAGCTCGGAGAACTGAATGCCGACGCTGTAGCGGGAAGCTCGGTTCAGGACGATGTTGGCTCAAAGTGCGCAAACCTTCGCCTCCTGGCATGGCTGCCTGCATGGCACAAGTCGATATACAAGGGCTCATCATCGTTCGACGACGTGGTGCTGGGGTATCAGGCGGACCTGCTCACTGTTCTTGCCCCGATTAGGGTCCTGCTATACATCTCACGCACGGATGCTGTGTTTGCGTGGAGCAAGGGACCAACGCACACTTCTATCCCGAAGGGACTGTCGAGATTGATGATGAAGAGTGGCGGAAGGCGTAAAGTGAGTGTCCCATGTACGAGGTTATGTACTAGCTCGTTGTAAGACTATTATACCATTTCGATCTCTTCATAAGAACTCGGTTTGGTGCGCTCAAGTACATCATCACGATACACATCCAACCGGTGTACGCTTGTGCATATCGCATGATGAGGGGGATGTGTGTGCATGTTACTTATAAACAGAAGACTTGGAAAACAATGACAAATAACGCGTGCGCGTTCTCAGCGCCTGTTCCATAGCACGCGGCGCGGGCCGCGTAATTGTGCTCGTTTGCCTACTTGTCCTCCTCCCCCTCCTCCTTCTCCTCCTCTTCCATCTCCCCTTACCCTCGCACATTTATGACGATGTCTGCTCCTATGGCAGTTGACAAAGCTAAGGGACCAAAGCTTGATATCGACGAGTTCCTCACTCTTGCCATCTCCGAGACGCCACAAGAGTTGCACTTGTTCTTCGATCTTTCCGGTCACTGTACAGCCGTAAGTACGTAGATCTTCTACTGCATGCTTTCAAGTTATTTCCGAGAGGATTCTGGAAGATTTGTGCTCGGTGAACTGCGCGGATACCTTACTGTTGAGCGGCACTCCGCTCATGGTAAGGTATACGCGGAGATCGCTTTTCGAGGTCGCATTACTTGGGCGCGCATACGGTCTGGACATGCACATATATGCGTATTTAATCGTTTTGCCGTATGACGCCCCATCTGGTTGTTGAACTCGCCTGAAATGCCTTCGAATGTCATGGGTGCGAGTAAATGCTGATCGTAGCTTCACAGACTCTGGCACCAGCTGACGAACAAGCTCTTCGAATTCTTCGACCATCCGCTCACACGAGCATACCGCGTCGATGTCTTCAACAAGTTCGTACGCGACTTCGAGTCTAAGCTCAATCAACTGAGGCTAGTGGAGATGGGCGTGAAGGTCTCTCGGGAAATCGACAGTGCGTCCCTTGCATCATGATCGTCGGTGCCGTCACTCATCTCGGCCCGCTGACAGACCCCGCAACGCATCTGCAATTTCTGACGGACCTCCTCGGGCGGGTCAACACGGAAAAGGCACCTGAGGCACACGTCCTCCTGCTTGCAACGCTCGCGCACGCGAAGCTCCTATACGGCGATCACGAGGGAACCAAGAATGATATCGATGCGGCATGGAAGATCCTGGACGAGCTATCCGGCGTTGACCCGTCCGTGAACGCCGCGTACTATGGCGTCGCCGCAGACTACTACAAGGTGCGTGTCCTTGGCCACTTTGTTACGTCACGACGCGGAACTCAAACGGTATCTGCGGGGGTCCAGTCGAAAGCGGAATATGCCCCGTACTACAAAAATTCGCTCCTCTATCTCGCGTGCATCGATCTCGCAAAGGACCTCACCCCGGAGGAGCGCGTACTGCGTGCGCACGACCTGGGGCTCGCCGCCTTCCTGGGTGACACGATCTACAACTTTGGTGAATTGGTACGCCGCCGATCCTGCCCCATTTCCGTCCCGCGCGACTCATATGGCAGTCCGGCCACAGCTCATGCACCCCATTCTGGACGTGCTCGACAACACGGAGCACGAGTGGATCAAGAAACTGTTGTTCACATTCAACGAGGGCAATATCGGCAAATTCGAAGCTCTCGCGCCCCTGTTCCCGAAAGAGGTGTGCATGTCTGACTGGCTGAGTGCGCGGGTCCATGCTCACCTGTGACCTTTGCTTGTTGTGCACGACCTACGCGCGGTGCGACCAACGTGCAGAAAATTCTGCTGGACAACTTCCCCTTCCTGCGACAGAAGATCTGCTTGATGGCGCTCATCGAGTCCGTGTTCAAGCGTGGGGCATATGATAGGACGATGTCATTCCAGACCATCTCCGAAGAGACGCGACTACCTTTAGACGAGGTGGAGCACCTGCTGATGAAGGCATGAGGTGCGTTGCAGGTTCGAGCGGCCACAGGCTGGCCCTCGTGTTCGCTCTCCTGTGGCCGCTCTTCACCGTTTACCCGCTTCACTGTGGCACCCACTCACCTGCACCACAGTTTGAAACTCATCAAGGGCTCGCTCGACCAGGTGGACGCGAAGGCGCAGATTACGTGGGTGCAGCCGCGGGTGCTCTCGAGGGAGCAAGTTGCACAGCTTGCGGAGAGGCTGAGCGTGTGGAACTCGAAGCTGCACATGGTGGAGGAGCGGATTGCCCCAGAGGTGCTCGTGAGCAGCTGAACGCTGTCGTAGCGAATGTACAGTAGCATTGGACCCTTAATGTATCCCGTTAGTGAGCATGAGCCGGCGGTGAGCGAGCGTCGAGGATGTGGCCGAGAGCGAAGCGAGCGGGGACGGGTTTGGCGCGTGCAGCAGGCTTTGTGCGCGACGGCCACCTTGCGGCGGGCGCATGTCCATCAACACGTTCCGCACATCCCAAGTGCCCCCAACGTGTCCTCAAGCTCCTTCATTTTCCCATCTTCTGGTATCGCGCCTCTCGGCTTCTCTCGCCTGCGCTGCGCCCACTGCGAACTTGAGAGCTCAAAGCACACCGGCCGCCCTCGCCGCCCTCCTCATAACCAGCTGCACGACGCCCTCTTTCGCCAGCCACCATGGCCTCCAGCACCCCCTCGACGTCCACACAGCCCTACTCGTCGACCTTTTCGTTCACCCACCCTTACCCCCCACCATCTGCCGCGTCGACGTCCGCCGCCGCCGCCAGCAGCAAACCCCAGCGCCGCGTCTCGCTCGCCCTCCCCTCCTCACCCCGCGTCTTCCCCGCCTGGAGCTTCCGGGACGATACCGGCGTCGGAGTTCACTCCGGCGATGCCGACGAAGACGATGCCGTCGAGAAGCGGGGGAAGATGCGCCGGATAGCGTCCGACGACGCCGACGGCAGCGAGCCCACCCGGGTGCCGCCGTCCCGTCCGACAAGCCGGAGAAGAAGGCGCGGAAGAAGTGGACGATGGAGGAGACGCAGATGCTCGTCGCCGGCTGCAACAAGGTGCGTCTCTTTCGTCTGGGTGTGTGCGCGGAGCGGGCGGTCTGACCGACGACGGTGCGGTGCTGCTCCTAGTGGGGGGTCGGGAACTGGAAGTCCATCCTCAACGACCCCGAGTTCAGATTCGACGGCCGGTCGCCAGTCGATCTCAAGGACAGGTACGTGTCTCTGCCTTGATTGCCCGCCGTCTTTGGAGCGGTCGGGAACGGCTGTCTCCTCGCCAACCGCGGTCGCTGACTTGCACCCCAGGTTCCGCACGTACTACCCCGATGCTTACCGGCAGCATTACCCCAACGCCAAGACCCACCTCTCGTCTAAAGTGCGCTCCGCGCTGCCCGACGGCTCGTCCATCTTCGAGAAGACGCGGAGCAAGAAGCGTCGGCCATTCACCGAGGAAGAGGACCGCGCACTCAAGGCCGGCTACGACAAGCACGGCACCGTGTGGGCGACGATCGTGAAGGACCCTATTTTCCAGGCGCAGAACAGACGATCCACCGATCTTCGAGACCGTTTCCGCAACGCGTTTCCGGACCTCTATCAGGCTGCTGGGTACAAGCCGCGCAACACGACCAAGAAGAAGAGGGACACTCCGCCGCAGCCCGCACGGGCTGCCACCGATGACGCACTCGCGATGAGCAGTTCCGCCGGCCCCGTGCGCAGGAAACGCCGTCACACCGACCAGGGCCTCTTCCGGGGCGGCACCAAGAGCGTCCCAGAGAGCGCGAACGTCTCCGAGGACGAGGAGAGCTCGGAGGACGAGGACGGCCCGGCGCCGTTCTTCAAGGAGAGCGCGTCGCAGACGGACGAGATGATGAGCCCCGCGCCGACGACGACCGAGGTGGAGATGCAGACTCTGGACTCGCTCAATGACACCCTAACCATCCCCGACTGGACCCCAGTTCGTCCCTTTCCGAGATGACCGACTCCTCGCAGTCACAGACTTGGTCGTCAGGTGTCGACACGCCCGTGCACTCTACTAGCGCATGGTCGACGGCCACCAACGCGGCGTCCCCCACCTCTTCGCATATCTCCGCCACCGACTACTTCAACAACTCCCCATTCCACCGGCGGAACGAGTCGGGGCCCATGATCGGCAAGTCCGCCTGGGGTCCGCAAGACTGGTTATCCGCGAACCCCCGACTGGAGCCTTCATCGAGTGGTTCCTCTTCGTACGTCGATGGCTTCTCTCCCGCGCCATCGTCCCCCTTCTCCTTCGCGCACCTCAACCACGGCGTCCTCGACCGCTACGACCTCTTCCCCACGTCATTTGCCCACGACTTCGCGTCGGAGGTAGGCGTCGGAGACACCCACTCCACATTCTCCGACCCGGAAATGTTGCACCAAGCAGCTTCCGCGGGTTACGCACCACTCGAACTACGCCGGCGACCTGATCTTCGGTGCGCGCTCGCACCAGCCCCAACAGTCGGCAGACTACGGCCCTGGCTTCGGCTTCGGAAGTGCAGGTCTAGGCCTGTCAGGCCTACAACCTCCCTCGACCATGCGTACACCTGCACTCCCCGGCATCGACGAGATTGAGCTTGCATCGATCACCCTGGACGACGAGGCGGATATGGCCGTGCCCATGGAAGAAACCGTTGACACCGCAGTACCCCCGGACAGCAAGAGCCCTGACCGACTCTCAACCTCTCCGACCTCACCTCCTTCGCGCTCCCGCAGCAGACGCTCGAAGAAATTATCGGCCTCACTCAAGGATCCACGTCACGCCTCCCGGGACCCCACAGACGCACGGACACGACCGGATGGCGCGCATGCAGCACGCCGGGGTGCCCATGTCCGTTTCGCACAACCGCTCCATCTCTGTCCCGCCCTCGGAGCACCGCGCGTACGACCCGCGCACGGCCGTGCCGCAGCCGCAGTCGGGCCAGATCCGGCCCAAGTCGCTCGTGCCCCCGACGCGCTCGATGTCGCTCATGGACTACCTCCCGCTCCACGCCACCGCGGGCGGCCAGCCCAGCCACACGCACACCCCGCGCCTCCCGACCCGAACGCGATGTTCTCGTCGCTCGCACAGTCCGCGGCCGAGATCTGGAAATCGTACGCGCCCGCGTCGAACCTGGCGGCCGCGACGCCCAGTGCGAACGCGGGCGGGGACCTGCCTTTCCTCGACCTGCACTACTACAACGGGCGAGCGGCGCGAACGAGGCACCGGGCAGCGAGGACGCCACGCAGGCGCAGGCCCTCGACCTTGCTCAGTCATTCGCGATGCAGAGCAAGACGCTCTCGGGGCTCCCACCGTCGCTGACACAGCACATCCCGATGTTCCAGAGTTGGCAGAGCGCGTTGAGCGGAGCGCAGGCGCAGGGCGTCGGAGCGGGCGCGGCCTCGCCCTCGGGGATGCGCATGGTGTCGGCGCACCAACGCGGACAGAGCGTGGTCTCGCCGCAGGACCTGCTCCTCATCAAGGGCGACAATAAGCGGAAGCGGTCGAGCTGGGATGGAGGCCCGCGGTGAAGCTGAAGGACGCGTTGCGATTTGTGAGTGTGTTCCTGTTGGTGCTCTCAAGCGTTCTCTCCCCCCTTCTCCCATTCCCATGCATATTTCTGTTGGCTCCCTCTGCCTGTGTCCGCGTATTTTCTGATTCGCGTATCGTCTTCCTTTGTTTCCGCCTCCCTCTGCCTCTATATTACGGCCCCGTCTCCCCGCGTCTCCATCCACTGTCTCCCAGTCTGCGTATCGCCCTCATAGTACCCGCCCCCATGCCCCCGACTCATGTTACCCGCCCACTGCTTTCCTCCCCAAGTTCTCGTGTTCACAGACCTTCGTGCCCCCGTCCCCGCTCTGCTGGACGTACTCAGCGACCCTCAGCACTTAGCCCTCTCCTAGTTCTCTCTCGACTGCAGTCGACCTCCAGCCTTCCACTGCTCGCGCCGCGGCTGTCCGCCCCCGCCCCCTCCCTCCCGCCTCCGTCTCTGATTCTGTTCTCACTCATCGTCTCCTGCATATCGCATCGCTCGCCAGCATCGTCTACCCACTTACGCCCCGTCATGTTTATCATACCTATCTCAATGCATCACACGTCGTTGACGTTGACCTCCGATCGCGCTCGAAACAGAGGGTCCGTGATCCACATTGATTGCAAGAGGTTTCCACTTGGCCTTTTCTTGGCCCTCATCGTGCTCTGTACTGGACGCCCATCCCTTGTCCTTATGTCCGACTCCCGTGCACCCCCACCCTTACGGTGCGCGGCCATGACTTCTCTTTTGCCGGTCTCGCAGCTGGTCGACCTGACTTTGTTGGACGTAGATTAATGACACATTGCTCCGCAGACGGGTGACCGCGCACAGTTGCAGCCCAGGGTGCATCGCGCATTAGTTTGTCCATCTCCCAGACCGGAGTAGACGTCATGCAGTGGGGGTGGGCGAAATTGCTACTAAGACATCGGAATGAGCTTTAGGATGATGTAACTGTAGTGCTTGATTTCAGGACGTGAAGGGTATGCATCGAGGTTGCAATTGGATGCTTTCATGGGTCCGACTGACTTCCCGGCGCTGCATGGCACGATATGTGTGTCGGTTCCGGGCCGGTTTCCCGTGCGCGTCATCCGTGCCACTGTCGCGTCGTGGATAACTCACAGTTCGTGTCACCTTCCTTTGCTCCTCCTCATTCAGGCCTCAAAGCTTCATATCATCTCCAGGGGCGTGTCGCCTGCTTGTCATGCTCACTGCAACATAATCGTCACACGATGCCTCCCGGACCTGCATACAACTGGTTCTGTGTGGCCCATTCGATCGTCGACATTCTCTCACACTCCGCGCAAATCCGTGCCAGCCAGCTCTCAAGAGCGGGAGGATCCTGGGCGCGGCACGCGCGTCATTGAAGCGCAAAAGGGACGAAGCATATCCGATTGGAACGCGTGTGGAGGAGGGGTGGGAGGAACGTGCCAATGAGGCGAAGCAGACCCCAATCTTTGTTCCGCGGGCACTTGCTTTTGAACCAGACAAGGTATGTTCTAGTTGACCGTAGAGGTGGATGTCCTAGGCTTAGAAACTTTTCTCCTAGACGTCTCAGGAGCCGCGTGAAAGTTCTGCTCCCTACGCCAGATCATCAACCAACCTGCAGACCAAGGTATGCTTCCGCCTGTCCTATCCTTCTGCATGTTTTGAGTCCGTCAAAAGCAGCCCCCGCTTGGTGCAGTTAGCCCTTCGGGTTCAGCGCCACCAACAGACCTAGTGACTCCTGCTTTTACACCGGAACGCATAGAGGTGTCGGACACTCCATCTGTTCCCCTGCATAACCATACAATAGATCAGCCTATTGCTTGGAGAGTTCCTAGCCCTTCTAATATAGACATACTTCACAGAGAACCATCCATAGCAGATGACATTGGTCCTACCACCAATGTTTCAGGCCCGACAGAGGTGAGTCTGCGCTCTGTTTTACTGAGACCTTATAATCATCGTCGTGTAGGAAGTTGTCTTCACTCCCTCGGACCGTCCTCAAAGTCGTAACCTCCAGCCCTCCAAAGTTCCTTCCTCGCGAATAGGACGTCTGTTCCATTATGGAGGTGCGTTGTTCGACCTTCACGCGACGTCGAGGAGTAGGGCGGATCTGGTATACGCGACCTGGGCGACGGGTGTGCTTCGTAGTGAGGAAGTGCTGCAAAGTTTATCAGAAGCTACGAGGAACAACAGTGGTCACAGAAGTTGCACAGAAAACTCCTTCCTGACCCGTCCCTGCTATATGTGTAGCGTTCCGTCGGCCATTGCAGTTGTGGATGAGTCGTTTTTGTCTTGGAGTCATCCGAATCGTGCTCTTCCCCACTTCCAAGCAGGTTCTCATGAAGTCATTTATTCGCAGGTCTAGCCGCTTCGCTAGGATACGGCGCTGCGACGGAACTCATTCGTCGCTCAACGTCGTCAGACAAGACAGCAGCCGGCTCGCTCATGCTTACAGAAGCCAACGTCAAGCGTCTCGTGTCAAAATTGACGCAAATGCGTGGCGCCGCGCTCAAGATCGGTCAGTTCATGAGCATACAGGGTGAGTCATAACCCGCACACAACATGAGATGAACGCTGAAATGATCCCTGCGCAAGACAGTCATGCTCTACCACCCGAGTTAGAGGAGATTTTCCGCAGGGTCCAAGACAGCGCGAACTATATGCCGGACTGGCAGATGGAGGTGAGTCCCTGTCCCTCTTCCACGTCTTTCGTGTTTGACACGTCCGCTTTGCCGCCTTCCAGCAAGCGATGCGAGACTCCCTCGGGCCTTCATGGCAAGACAACTTCGCCTCCTTCGATCGCATCCCATTCGCCGCCGCCTCCATCGGCCAAGTGCACCACGCGACCCTCGCGGCCCATGCCTCGCCAACTGGTGCACCCGAGCGCGTCGCGGTCAAAGTACAGTTCCCAAATGTCGCGCGCTCGATCGCGAGCGATCTCGGATACGTGAAGGTGTTGCTCACCGCGGGCTCGATCCTCCCCAAAGGGCTTTTCCTGGACCGCACACTTGCAGTGATGAAGGAGGAGCTCGCGGACGAGTGTGATTATGCACGCGAGGCGGCTTTCGCTCGCCGCTTTGCGCAGGAGGATCACCTTGGAACAGATGCGCACTTCAAGGTGCCATGGGTATGGGAGGACAGCACGGACAGAGTGCTTGTCATGGAGTATGTTGAGGGCATAAGCGTGGGTGGATCAGATGTCGAGCGGTTGAGCTCGCAGGACAAGAACGACGTGAGTCGCTCTCCATGTTTTGCGTCCACGAAGCTCACACACGGGACAACAGATCGCTGCCCGTATTGTCGAGCTGTGTTTGCGCGAGCTCTTCCACTTCAGGGTGATGCAGACAGACCCCAACTGGTCTAACTTCTTGTGGAACCCTCTCTCGCGCAAGGTGACTTTTATTTTTCCCTCCCGGGATTGTCTCTGAGTTGGGTTTCTGCAGATTGAGCTCGTCGACTTCGGCGCGACGCGCGAGTACTCGAAAGAGTTCATCGACAACTGGCTCCGTCTTCTCTCTGCGGCCGTTGCCGAAGACCGAGAAGGCTGCATCGAGTGGTCGCTCAAGCTTGGTTACCTCACTGGCAACGAGAACGATGTACGACCCCTCCTCCTTCCCACCCTGCGCTTAACCCAGACTCAACTTCGCCTATAGACCATGCTCAATGCACACGTCGAGTCCATGACGCTCCTCGGCACGCCGTTCAACCCGCGCACCACACAACCGTTCACGTTCGGCCCCGGTTCGCCTTGGGCGGACATCACCGCACGTATCCGCGAGCAGATCCCGGTCATGGTTCAGCACCGCTTGACGCCCCCGCCCCGCGAGACATACAGTCTCAACCGGAAGCTGAGCGGCGCGTTCCTACTGGCCGCTCGTCTCGACGCGAAGGTCGACTGTCGCGTGCTGTGGGAGCGCGTCGTGAATGGGTACCGGTTTGGATGAGGGAGACGGCTAGGCGGCGTTGCTGGTAGTTGTGTACTGTTCGGTCGGTTGCTGAATTCAAACACTCCACTTGCTTTCTGTTCTCTGTCGTGCAACATGAAGGCCTCAGCTCACGGTCCCGTCGAAAGGACGGCATGTGCGAACAAACGCATTCAACGTCATCTGTGGCTTTCCTTGTCCTCACAAATGCACCTTTCGGCGAATCTTCACCAGCCTCCCTATATGAATCCTTCTCGCAGCCCAGTTTCTACCCCAATGACGACCTCATTCTCACTCTATGACACATTACTCCTACAACATTTTTGTCAATGGTCAGTGTCTGTGCCACTTGGGTTTCGCGCTCGTTCATGAATGATTGTTTGTCCAAGCCCTCACAGCAGATGCTCTACACCGACCGCGAGGGGCTTACCTCATCAACGAACGGCACACGCGACTCGGAATTCTGGTTTGACGATGGCAACATTGTTCTGATTGCAGGAGACGTACGGTTTCTATTCTACCAAGGCATCCTGGCCAAACATTCGCCCGTGTTCAAGGCACTGTTCTCGTTACCTCAACCTTCCCTTCCCGCGTCTGAGCCCCCCAGTCTCCCACAAGTCGCCATCTCCGACTCCGCAAATGCCGTGAGACACTTCCTCCGCGTCCTCGTCGTTGGACACCAGTCCTTGTACGTGGCCCACGCACCCCAATTCGGTCTCTACTCACCTCTCGGCAGCTCGCACGGCCGCAACCCCACCTTCGACGAGATCTCCGCCTGGATCCGACTGGGCCACAAGTACGAAGTCGAGTCCCTCGTCAAGTGCAGCCTCGACTTCCTCCGCCGCTACTTCTCCGACGACCCCCACCAGTGGTTCGCGCAGACGCTCCTCGCCCCGCCCGGCTGGCAGCCCGCGCACGCGATCGGCGTCGTCAACCTCGCGCGCCTCACCGGCGCCGCGTGGCTGCTCCCGACCGCGCTCACGGTGTGCTGCACGCTCGGGCCCGAGGTCGTCGACGGCGTCGCGCGCGAGGACGGCGGGCGGGAGACGCTCGCGCCCGCGGACCTCGGCCGGTGCTTCGCGGCGAAGGCGGCGCTCGCCCGGGCGGACGGCGCGAAGGTGCTCGCCGTGTTCCGCGACGAGGTCGCGCCGGGGTGCAGGGCGCGGTGGGCGTGCCGGAGGGTCCTGAGGCGGCTGATGGGGTGCGTGCTGAGGGGGGACCCACGCACGAAGCGGGTGGAGTGGTACGAGAGCTGGACGCCGTTCGTGGACGAGGTGGACGATCGGCGGGAGCTGTGTGGGTGGTGCTACAAGATGGTGACGGAGACGAGGCAGGACGCGCAGGAGAAGGATGTGTTCATGAGGTTGCCCGAGATCATGGGGGTGAAGGTCGAGGGGTGGGGCAAAGTCTTGAAGAGAGACTCAGTGGACGGGGCGTGAAAGTTTGAAGCGTTGTAACCGAATCTGTACCATCACTTGGCTGCTTGTTATGTAGAGGGAATACGGAATTCAGAACCCAGTAGAGATCGTTACGAACTCAGTCAAGGATCAAGCTCCTCATAAGGATGAGGAGCCGTGCGGTAGTATCCTCTTCGGTCCTCGTGCAGAATTGTAGAGGTGCAACAGCACGCTCGTTGTCCGAAGCCAGACAAGAACGGCAGATGTTGCCTGCTCGCAGGAAAACCAAGAAAGCTTACTATGAGACCTTCCAATGCAAACCCCGCCGTTTATCGCTTGGGCCTTACATAACCGGAACTTCTCGACAGCACCCTAGGTCGACATTGCATTGGACATTTACTGGTGGGCTCCATGCGGTTGGTGGGCTGTGGCAGGGGGGAAGCCAGCGCAAAGACGAATAGCTTGGTAGTGGTGATGGTGAGAGGAAACAGGCGAACTCGCTCACCTCCCGATCTCTCCCGACGCCTGAGCGCCGGCCTCAATCGACGCCCCTGTACGCCTCACTTTCCAATCCTCAGCATCCTCCCCAACATGATGGTCCGTCTATGCTCTCTCTCTCTCTAGATGAGGCGCTGTCACTATGTAGCTGGGTTACCAACTACGCACGGCCCAGTCGGTCGCCATCAAGCTTCGAGCCGCAAATTTTGAGCTCACAGGCATGCCTGGAGTTCTGGTTTGGAACGAGGTATGTACTACTCTTGCTCATTATGGAGCCAACGTCACAATGCCGATGAATTCCCATAGGCCTTTGTCCTCGTTTATCTCGTCCAGCTACGTGATGTGCGTGAACCTCTTCTGGGACACATCAATGGATATGAAGCCTGGGCTTCCGCAGGCGGACTGGAGCCTTTGCTAGTGATGCCGACCGTGCAGTTGGCATGCGCGTGAATTCTGGAGACTTGAACAGCATGACGCTGGGTCTATTTGGCGCTGCACCTGGCAAGACAACAACATTTATCCACTGTGCGTCATTTCAAGTCCCTGCGTGCTTGTGCGACTCTCGCTCACGTAGACTACCAAGAGGCAGACACAACTCCACGCTTCATCCACAGAATGCCTCTGCCAATATGACATGGTTCATTAGGTCGTCTTCATGAATGTCGTATTCAATAACAAACTCATCGATGGATTGGCCGAGGATTCGCCAACAGCGCGGTCACGTGACCCGCGTGCATGGTTGTAAACTCATGACGGCTTTCGGCTCGACATCTCCCTCACTTGATCACTCTGTCCTCTAGCAGAACTCAGGCCTCTATCTTTGAACAGGCTTCAACATGGGACCTTCCACGCGCTATCGCGCATCTTCTTCGATCGCGGGGAAACGTCGTGTAAGTCACTTCCTTGCTGTTGACACTCTGTCGTCGTCCAGGCTACTTACTATGCGGCCATTGCAGAGCGATCTCGACGCTCTTCGCGCCTTGGAGGAGCTACTAGCAGTGTACATGAAACAGAAGGCTCTTCAGAAGAAGGCTCTCCAGAAGAAGGTTCTACAGAAGATAGAGAGGCTAGCAGAGGCATCCACTGCTCGCGCCGACGGCGAGGCGCAACATCATACATGCCGTGAGTTGTGAACCTCTCTGAAAGATGCGCGTGGAGACTCACCACTGCGTGTATAAGACTTGATGTCCCTTCCTGAAGTCCTTTTCCCCGAGATCGTCCAGTATCTGGATGAGACAGACCTCGCCCGTCTGGCGAGAGCCTCTCGCGCCCTCCACATCCACACGGAGAACTTGCGGTACCGCATTGTCACGATTCGGTCATTTCACGGGCTTCTCTCGTTTCAAGAAGGTCTCCGAGCCACTCGCCCGGATCAGCGCGGGCGGACGAGGCGTCAGAGACTCCAATCAGTGTACGTTGGGTGGGAAAGCCCCTCTGCAAACGACCCGCAAGTGGGCTCTGCTCTCGCCTTTATCCTCGACAATCTCGCTCCCAAAGTCCGGTTGGAGCTTCAAATCACCGACGCTCATCCGTCATCGCGGCCTCGCGACACGTGGAACGTTTCCCTGCAGCACTACGGTGCCTCTCACTCGCACCTACGGGCCTCCTCCTGGGTGCTACAGCACTGTCGCAGCCCGGCGAAGAATCTAGTCGCACTCACCGTCGATCTGCTATCGACGCAAGACCATGTTCTCCACAGAATATCACATGCGTTCGACGATACTCTTCAGGACCTCCGTCTCTTCCGCAGGTTCCCGTCTTCTCCCCGCAACCAGTCCCCCATTCGGATCTGCGCCACGTTGTCAGTGAGGTCGCTGCGAAGGCTGTTCATCGAAGACTCCTGCGACGGAGGAGTAAGTCCTTCATCGGAAACGTGCTGATAATACACTGGCTGACCACCTTCGCTTAGGTCGACGTAGGCTTGGATGACGAGGATTTCGCTGTGCGACACGGATACGCGCTGCTCCCCGTAGCTGCTGACGGTGTTCCAAGCCTTGAAGTGCTCGTCTGGAGGCCAGCGTGGGTCAGAAGCGCCAATACCAATCTCGTGGAGGAGCAGACCAGCCGTTACCAGCATGAAATCGTCAACGTTCTGGACCCAGTGATTGTTGTGGTCCCTATCAGCGCCAACCAGGGCAGTGTGATGGTCGGGAAAGGTGGAAGGGAGAGGTCCGCCACAAGGAGCAACCTCGCACGGTACCGATGGATGCACCAGTGACGTGGCGTGGAACTCGGAGACGCAATTGGGGAGAGTAAGCGGCCTTTCTCCACGCCGTTGCACGGAGGTTATGTATGACTTCGCTGTGTTTGTGGTGTATTGGTACAATGTGGTAATGTGGTATGCCACAATTGTAATGTAGTGGCCATCGATGCGTTATTCACATCGAAATTTATCTCTTGGCATATCGTTTGCAGAGACACTTATGAATCGCTATAGGTAACCACTAAAGGCTGCTTTGTAGTCCGTCATCTGATATGTCGATGCTATGAGCTAGTGACAGAAACTTGGGATGAGATGGTGCGCTGTACGCATATTTTGAGGTTCAGTATGCCTGGAACCTGCTTATTCCGCCAGAGTTAGTTAGCAATGGAGTTGACGTCATGATCGGCGTTTGAGATACTCTGTTTGGCGCTGTTGTCTAAAAGTCTCGGATCCTAACAAGCCCAAACACATCCCACGTTCCTCCCATGAGGCGACAAGCCAAGGCTTCGCTGCTCATCGCTTCGGATATTGTACATAGATGATCTTGCCGAAATTCGCATCTTGATCAGCAGGGACGAACACCATGCGATCATGCTCAGAGGCGTTGTTTCGCAAAGACTTTGAGCGGGCACGTCCCGACATGTAAACCATAACCCTACCTGGTTGCCTTTCTGGGTAGAGGCGACGGCGGACGTTCTGACGAGCCGACATCCTCCTCTCGACCTCGACCTTCATCCTGTCACCCCCTACCCCAGCGACGGACGTTAGGTCCATCGGCTGCCTCGCCTCTCCCCTCGCCATGGCCTCCTTCCTGTCCAAAGTCTTCCCGCGCAAGAAGGACAAGGATACGTCAAAACGCAACTCATCCCCCTCGCTCCTCGAGGGCAAGTTCGAGGCCGTCGCGCACCCATCTTCGCCCTCTGCTGCCAAATTCGCGGACATAGCGCAGCAGCCGGGCGAGCACGGGCGTGTCAAAGAGAAGGAGAAGGAGAAGGACGGTGGGTTCACGCTCTTCAAGCCCAAGTCTCGCCCCCGCTCCCCACCCCCCAGCTCGCCGAAAACCGTGTCGAATGCTCCCCACCTCACGCTTAACCTTCCGGTACCTAAGGAGCCACGGTCGCGTGCCCTTGGAGTGGTCTTTGAGGCGGATCCCAACGACGTCAGCACCCTGCCCGATAACATCATCGGCGAACGGCGACTCAGCCCACTGGAGACCCTCTTGCTCGTGAGGGCGTGCTCTACGGCGCTGATAAACCATGGAGGTACGTGGTTTTTTGCGCTTATATGTAATTTCTGTCGCGCTGACAGCGCGCAGGTCTCGAAACTCTCGGTGTGATGCACCCGTTCTGGTACTCCGCCTCCCCCGACGCCCAGCGCAGACTTATCTCGCTCTTCCTACTATCTTTGGGTCCCAAAAGCCCTATAACCACGCTCTCTCCCTCCCCTTCTTCCGCCTCCGCCTCCTTCGATTCCGAACTCGAGTATTCCCGTTCCCCTCACGACGTCGCTGCCGTATTCCGATGGGCCCTCCGCCACCTCCGCTTGGAAGGCGAATCGTTCGGACGCGATTCCAGCGAATGGAAGTGGTACGAAACCTTTGCGGAAGCTGAGCGGACCAAGTCGTACCCGAACAACGCGTTCAGCGACGCGTTAGTCCCGCAACTCCCCCCCTCACACCATCAGCTGCTCGTAGCAACGCTTGATCTCGTCTCCTCCTTTGCCTCGCATGCGGAGACCAGCGGTGTTTCTGGGAGCAAGTTGTCTAAGTTCCTAGGTATCTGGCTCCTCGCTGCAAAGCGGAGTGAAGATGGAGAGGATTGGCCAGCCTTTTATGCGCGCTGGGAGCGCGCCGGAAGGATATTAGAACATCTATTCTTGGCGCACATTCGGTGAGTTCTGACGCGCTTCATTCTGTGCGTCCCGCCAATCAATCTATCCCCAGAGATGAGATGGCGAGCGAGAAGGTTCCTCTCCGCTTGGTCCAGCTCACAAAGGGCTATCCGTATCACGGCAAGAGTGAGTCCTCAGGTTCCACGACGACGGGAGACGAGCTCCCCGCACGTCCTCGGTTCTCCACCCTTCGATATGACGCACTCTTCGTCCGCGTTGAGACGGAGTCGGACTCCAAGGCCCCGAAGACCAAGTCTCACGCGCTTCGTCTTCTCATGGACGCGCTGAAATCTGAGTTGGATCTCAAGGATGCGCAGCTCCAGGCCGCATGGGAAGCAATCCAGAAGACCGCACTTGCAACCGACGAACCAGAGCCGATCCTAACCCACGTTGATAGCTTTCCAGGACTGTCCCGCATCTTCACGGACGAGACGACCCGCATACTCTCCTTCCTTCCATCCGCATCTGAGGATATTCCTACCATTCGACTTCCTCAGCCTCCGTATAAACGATCCACGTCGGCCAACACCACGTCGGAGTCTCAACAAACGAACGGTCATGGCAAAGCCGCTACCGCGGGCGATGAGAACAAACCCACCCCTACGAACGGAGATAGCAAGCCCACTCCTGCTGAGAACAACGGCAGTGGGAAGCACACACCAGCGACCTCTCCGCAGACGCCAACCTCGCCCAAGGATTGGATGGACTTCTCGAGCGGTGGCTTCGGCGAGAGCACGCTTGGCAAAGATTTCGCGAAAACGCTCATGGACAAGGACGTTGAAGTTACCATACCGCCGGCACCCATAGAGCGCAAGGTCAGCTCCAGGAAACGCGTCCCCGTACCGACCGACCGCCGTTCATCCGTGGACAGCCCAAACACGGACTCAGTCATTCGGGCCTCGGAGATCGTGGCTCCTCCCAAGCCTCAGGCACCCAAGTCGAAGACGACTCTGGCGAGTCTAGTCAAGCTCGACGAGGCGTTTGTCGACTTCTGGAACGATTCTCTCCTCGACCCTGTCTCCTCCGGCTGGCCTAATGCACTCTTGGCTCAGCTCAACGCCATCCCTGGCGTTGAAGTTGACGGCAAGCCCATCGGGTGGCTCATCGTCGAGCAGCGCTTTGTCGCTCCGCCTTCCACCCCAGCTCCTGCTCTCGAACCGGCCGCTGCCAACACCCGCCGCGCCGCCTCCCCACGCCCCTCGGTTCGCTCTGAGAGCTCCGGCAGGAAGAGTTCGGCATTCTCGCTGTCTGCCCGGAAGCGCCTCACCTTCTTCTCGTCCTCGAGCCAGAGCATCTCGAGCGCGGCTGCCAAGTCCGAAGTAAAGGCATCCTCAGCGCGCAAGAGGGCATCCAAGGGCGCCCGCGTCGGCGAGATGGGCGAGATCCTGCCCGAGGTCAAGGAGAGCGACGAGAAGTCTCCCGCGTCGCCCGCGAAGAAGGAGGCCGCCGCCCCTGCGAAGCCCAGCGTCGTCGTCTCTCCTGCGACACCCGCCCCTGCTCCCTCGGCCGCTGCGTCCCCTGCGTCCGAGGGCTCGCTCTCACCCATGACACCTTCTGCCGACGACTTCCCTGCTATCCCTGTCGTCGCAGGCGTGCTTGCCACCACGGACGCTGGGGCCGTCGCCGTTGAAGCGCTCAAGACCGACGACGGCGAGCTCGCGACATGCTGTCGCCGACATTCCACCCGCCACCGAGGCCGACGAGATCCCCAAAGCGGAGGAGACGCTCCCGCCCGCACCGGAGGCTGTCGTCCTCACCGGCGAGACTCCCGGGCCGGAAGTCGCGCTGAGCACGAGCGAACCCGCGGCGCGCGCGGAGATCGTGGAGAAGGTGGACGCGCTCGTGGAGGAGGCGAAGTCGCCTGAGGAGGCGGAGCCCGAGGTCGCGGCGCCTGCGCCCGAGGTTGCTGCACCCGAACCTGAGGTCGCTGCGGCTGTCGAGCCCGAAGTCGCTTCCCCCGAGCCCGAGGTCGCGGTGCCTGAGTTTGAGGCCGCTGCTGTCGTCGAGCCCGAGGCCGCCCTGCACCGGAGCCGGAGCCGGAAGAGCCTGCGCCTGCGCCTGTCGTCGAAGAGGTGGCCGCTCCCGCCGTCGAGGAACCCGTGGTCGAGGCCCCCGCTGCCGTCGAAGAGGCACCAGTAATCGACGCACCCACCACCGAGGAGGTTCCTGCACCTGAGGAGCCCGCCCCCGTCGTCGAAGAGACCCCGGCGCCCGAACCCGAGCCCGCTGTGGAGGAGCCTGTCCCCGAGCCGGAACCCGTTGTCGAGGTAGAGCAGACTCCTGTTCCCGCCGAGCCCGCAGCCCCGATCGTCGAAGAGCCTCCTGCTCCTGAGCCTGAGCCGGAGGCCGTGATCGAGGCGGTTTCCGAGCCCGAGCCCATTGTCGAAGCCACTCCTGAACCTGCACCGGTCGTCCAGGAGGTCGCAGCGGAGCCGGAGCCGGCTACCGAGGCTGTCCCCGAGCCCATTGTCGAGGCCGCCGTTCCGGAGCCGGAGCCCCTCGTTGAGGAAACTCCCGCCCCAGAGCCGAACCCGTTGTCGAAGAGGCCCCGCGTCGGACCCTGCGGTGGTTGAAGCTGCTCCCGAGCCCGAACCCGAGCCCGAGCCAACCCCTGCGCCCGCACCGGCGGTAGAAGCCATTCCAGAGCCCGAATCAGTCGCGGAAGCGGTCGCAGAGCCGGAACCTGCTGCTGAGGCTGCACTTGAGCCCGAAACTGTAGTTGAGGAAGTCCCGGCGCCTGCGGCCGCGCTCGAGCCCATTGGTACGTCTTTCTTCGTTTGCTTCGGCTGTAATGCAAGTCGCTCACCGTTTGCTTTGCACTCGCACAGTCGAAGTTGCGCCTGAGCCTGAAGTCACTCCGGCGCCTGAACCCGAAGCATCCGTTCCTGTGGCCGAGGAGGAGCTCGCCCCGCCCCGCCCCCGTCGAGGAACTAGTCGACGAAGCGGTCGCTGAGTCTGTTCCAGAGCTCGCCACCCCTACTGTGGAGGAGGAGCCTGCCCATGCACCCGTCGAGGAGGCCGCTCCTGTCGCTGAGCAGCCTGTCACCGCCACGGAAGAGCCTACTGCTTCTGAGGAACCAACCGCACCGGTGGAGGGGCCTGCAGCGCCTGCAGAGGAGTCCGCCGCCGAAGCTGTTCCTGAGGCCGTTGAGGAGCCTACCGCTGCGCCCGTGGAGCCCGAGTCCACTGCTGTTGAGATTGAGGTCCCAGGTATGTGATTACTCACGCACTGCTCTCTTCGAGGCAGATCGCTGACGGATGGTATCGCTGGTGGTGATATAGCGTCCGTTCCTGGTGCGGAGGTCGAACCGGAGACACCTGCTTCAGAGTTTGCGCCCGAAACTCCTGTCGAGTCTGAAGACCCGTCGCCCGAACCTGAGGTGGGCGAGGAAGCGGCTGCTGAGGAGAAGCCTGAAGGCGGCGTTGCCTCGTCAAAGAAGAACAAGAAAAAGAACAAGAAGGGCCGCCGCTAAAGGTGCGCCCGTGGGCTTCCTCGTGTTCGTCGCGTTGCAGATATTGATCCGAGGTTGTGCGCAGAGAGCCGGTACGCGTTGCACATATACCTGACCGCTTTGCTACGCGTACAACAAGTGGACGCTGTGTTCCGGAAGATACCCCCTTCGCCCCGACGCCACGCCCTGTCCCCTTCCACGCCTTCAGTCCCTGTCCAATCCGGCTCGAATCCCACCCAATCTATCTCGATCTCCCGCGTCCCGTCGCGTCCTCGCTCCTTTTACTGTATGCTCTCCCTGCTCTCCCCGTGTCCTCGGTCCCCGCGGCTGGCTGCCTCTTGTAGACCAGGCCCGGATGATCGACGACGACGAGTTCTAGTTCGCTACCGGCGTGTTCAAGTTCGTTATAATGGCCCCCGGTCCGCCCGCGCATCGATATATTCTTACATATGCCCCGGATCCATCCATCTTCTGCCGATTTACTGCATATGACCGTGCTCGTGCTCGTGCTTGGTGCTTTCGGTTTAGTTACTTAGCTACAATGCACCCTGTGCAACAGCGGATATATATCTCTCCCTTCGTTCGCCTAAGTACCTGGGTGAGAGGCGCGTAGCCGGGTGAGAGGAGATTGAGCGGATGCAATGCGCAGTGTGCTCGGCGCACGAGATGCGACCAAACTCCGCTGTGGTCGGGCGTCCTTTTGGAAATGTGACGGATGGCACACACGCGACACTTGCTGTGTTGCCTGGACGAGCCCGCGCGCCCGGGATTTCGTCCGTGCTTGCCTGGTCGCCGGCCCTTTGAGCTCGTTGAAAAGACATACGTGACAGTGGAGGGAGTGTGCACGCCTGCCGGTTCGCGACGGGAGACCAGGAGGCGATCGGCACGCGCGGGCAGACCTGAATCTATGATGGTCCGGATGGAGCCGCTCACAGCCTTGGGGAACACCCCTGCCAGGGAGCTGTCACCGCCTGCCGCCTGGGCAGCCTGCGCCACGCCCGACCTCTCTCGGAGCTCGTCAGCTTGTCTCCCGCCGTCATCTGCCCCGACCCCGACGCAGACCGAGACTGCTTGCTCTTGCCCCGCGCCGCCTCTTCGTCTGTTCCGCACGCTGCGCTCCCTCCCTCCCCCTCCACCTCCGCTTCTTCTTCTCCTCCCCTGGAGAGTCTCGTTTTGCTTTGTTCTCTCCAGTCCGTGACGGCTCTCGTCAAGAAACATGTCCTACGATGAGCGCTTGCTCGCTAGCGCGCCGGTCGCAACCCGTACAGAGAAGCAGGTGAGCCGTCCCTCCATCCTCCCTTCTCCTGCGGCCGGCGGATGGTGGCGGTGGAGGTCAATACGTCTGGTGGTGGTTACAGGGAACGGTCAGGAGGGATGGTGGGCAGGGCTGGATTCACGGGAGAAGGCTGGGAGGGAAACCTGCGCATACATCGACTCCCCCGCTTCCGTCGCAGCCGTCGCAGCGCGGGCTCTGCCACCCTAAAGGCGGCATGCTGACCACGTCCCCCGCGCCCGCCCGCAGGAAGGATACAACATCGACCTCCTAGGCGGCGGCTCGCGCGCGGCCCCCGCCGCGGCTGCGCGCCCCGGGTCGGCGACGCCCCCGCCCCCCGCCGCGCTCGACGCCGCGAAGGCGGAGGACGGGTACGCGGGCACGGCGTACCCCGCCCCCGCGCGGCCGTGGTACAAGACCCGCAAGTGGCTGCTGATCTTCCTCGTCGCCGGCATCGTCGTCGTCGCCGCCGTCGTGGGCGGCGCCGTCGGCGCCACGGCCAACAAGGGCCACACCAACATCGTGACGTCCTCGACGGCGGCGAACCCTGGGGACGGCCAGTCGGCGACGACACCCGCCTCGTCGACCACGACGAACGAGGGCGGCGGCTCCGGTCCGTCCTCGGTGTCGGAGACATCAGCCGGATCGCCCCCGACGCCAGTTTCCCAAGGCGTAACGACCACGACAGATCCGGGTAGCCCTGGTAGACCCACTAGTACTTCATGAATCGTGAGGCTTCCGTTTTTTGCCGAACGGTCTCTCAGCATGCTCACAGCGGTGTGGCAGATGTTTATACGGTTTTGCTCCCCGCTGTGCTGGTCCGCTCGCCGTCGCCGTATGCTAGGTTTAAATTAGTTCACCCCGTCGCTGCACATTACCTTTCCGTGCTCTTTCTCATTGTGCTCCATTGTTCGTATTCATTCCATGGACACCTCCGCGCGCCGTCTGCGTCCGTCTGTACCGTGTGGAAGAGACTCTGGTCAATGATGGGTATGTCTCGTCCTATGACGAATTATAGCTGGTGTGCTACGACTGATCGCTTGCCGTCCACGGTCCACACAGGTCATGATGGATACTCAATGCTCGATGGTCGGTGATTACGCAATCGCTCAGGCTTGTATGCTGCGCTTTCGGGTCTCGAGTCCGCCTGGGAAGATGGTGGATGTGCGTTTGCAATTCAACTCCGTCTTGATCCTTCAGAGTGGAGGCCGTTCCACAACAGGCGCGCGACCAGGCACAAATATACTCTGCTTTGGCCTCGATTGCAGCTTCGCTTGGTGGAGAGGCCAATTGACAACGCAGACTCCTGGCTAGCAGTGCTTACCGATCTTCCTCGGGCTTGCCAGCTTCTTGTGACACTTGCATCCGTTCGTCCACTGCAATTTTCAGCACAGGTCATGTCCCCCCTTGTGTTTGTGGGCCAACGGCTAGGGCTCAAGACGGTGCTGCCTTCTGCGAGACCTCGGAAGGGAGTGAAGGACGCTGTTCCACGTTTGCCGCACTGATTCACATCTTCCCTGGTTGCGTCCTCGCCCACGAATCCCAACCGCGGGCGACTACAGAGTTTGTCGTTGATCTCAACCGGTCAAAACCGCCCACTAACTCCGCTCATCTCATTTTCAGCGCCATCTCTATGCCCCTGCGCACCCGAACTCACGGCAACAGCGAGCTGAGTCGGACGTGGCTCATGGTTTACTTGTCGTTTGCTTCGCTCATCCCGGAACCCCTCCCAGCGCATACTATGGACGCCAAAAGCTTGACCTTTCATCAAGGGGGATCATGAATAAGGTGCTCCGCACTCTTCACAGATCCACGCCGTCAAGAAGAAGCCCCCAGAGCGAAGGCGAGGAGGCCTAGTTGAAAGGACGCCCTACCGGTCGGGTCGTCGCCCGCACATACGCCCGCACGACGTACAACAATCGGAGTCCCTCCGCATGGAAAACCTCCGCCACAACGGCTCCCCCCAGCCCATAGTCGTCGTGATCCATTCCGGGCTCTCGACAATCAGGCCGCCGTACGATGCCTCGCTGTTCACTGATCCGGTGAGTGCCTTTCTTGCGCGCGTTTTGGCGGTCGAGGACGACGGCGTTGGTTCGCCTCCTCCATATATCGGAAGCTGACTGTGAACTTGACCCACAGAACGCGTTCCGCTCCAGCCTTGAGGCCCGGCGAACGGCGACCCGCACGGGGGTGGCACGGCCGGCGCAAGTGACAGTGCGTTTGCGTCGCTGAAGTGCAGTGGCTGTGGACATCACCGTTCATGACGCGGACCTTGTGGTGGATAGTCTTCCGTCGCCCTTTCGCTTGTGTATGGACCTACGCTGTGTGATACGCCTTGCGTGACGGTATTCCGACACGGACTTACTTCCTGTGCATGTTTTGCATCATCGACGTGTTCGTTCCATGGACATCTTCGTACTTGACCTGCGCCCACGTGTACAGCCTGGACGGATCGGCCATAAAACGTATTTTTCCGTTCACGATGCTCTACATGTATGCTCACTACTCTCCGTCTATGCAGATCGAGTATGGTCCACCTCAGACGTCACTAAGCAGTCGTTCGAAATTGTTGGCTTCGAACCTGTACGGTGCGCTGCGTTTGCGTCCCGGGATCTCCGGCTCGACGTGCCTCTGCTGTTGTGATGCCACGACCCTTGAGGAGCGCGCAAATAGTGGCGAGCTCGAAACGAGGCTGGCCCGGCCGAACACCAACACGACGCGGGCGCGCCACTATCGGTCGATACGGGCGCGCGACGGCGGGCGGTGGTCCGAAATGGGGTGCGCGTGTCGAGCGTCGCCGAGGAAATCGGCGGCGGCGGGAAGATGGTTTGCTGGACGAGTGCGGGGCGGCTGCGCCGCGTCGTCAATCGGTGTTGGTGTGGCACGAGGCACGCGTGCAGAGGCACGCCCTGCGCATAGTACACGCAGGAGCGACAAAGGACGGTCGACGATAGTGGCACATGGTCTGGCGAGCGACTGACCCGGAGCGCGGTTCGGGACGGATCCGTGGGCGCAGCTTTCGCGCGACTCAGATGAAAACTACAGCGGAGCATCGCAACTGTACCTAATGTATTCTAGCTAATGTAATCACAGGTGCGAGACCTTCGACGTTCTAACAGTCTGTGACATTCATGCCTGCCTTGCGACCGAAACCCAGCGCGTCATTACACCCAACACCTAGCCTGACCATCCACCAGGCGCCAATCGTAGTAGGACTTGAGCAGGGCCGCCTCGAGCCTCGCCACCGACCCGTCCCGTTGGACCACTCTGAACGCGTCGGCTGAGAAGTTGAGGCGCCAATCGTAGTAGCACTTGAGGAAAACTGCCTCGAGCCTGGGCACCGATCCGTCCAATTGGGCCGATCTGAATGCATCGAGCAAGGTGTGCCAAAACTTCCGCGCAAAGAACTCGGGTGCTTGAACGCGCGGCGTAAGCGGTATGAGAACCCGGAGGAGGCTGTGGGGCACCACCCCTATCACTTCGGGGGGAATCGACGGACGGCTGCCCACGACCTCACTAGCGCCGACGTTGACCACAACGTGAACCCCGAGCGTGACGGGGTCCGCGGAGGGGCGGTGCAGGGCCTGGAGGAAGCCTCCCCAGATAGTTCCTAGGCCTGTGGCAGATTAGCGCGTGAGACGAGAAGGAGGGGAGGAGGCCCACTGGAAGTCGGGGAGGGCTCCTGGTCTGGTGGGAGCTCGGCGGAGGCGGTGATGATCACAAAAACGTCGTTTTCGGGAAAGTGGGCAAGCGGAAACTTCGTGCCAGCGTCGGGATGCGTTTGATATTTCGGCGGTTTCTCGTCGACCTTGCTTATGGGCTGATCGCAGGGTGTCATTTTGGCTGGACCTGGCTTTTTAGGTAGGAGAGCATGAGTGGTTATAAGTCACAGGCCGTGCCCGGAATGCATAGATGATGACGTCCACTGTGCGCACACGCGCGGCAGTGCGATCAGCTTATATCGTCCGTTGATCGATCTGTACATACTACGTGGTTCCAGCCCCTACTTATTCCAGGGGGCTCCTCCTCCGTCGCTGGGGTCTCTCGACCGTTTTGGCGATGGGCGGTCGGTCGGGGTCGAAGGAGTCCAGCTGTAGAAGCGATGACGGAGAACCGTTTTCACGGATGGAGCCGTGTATCGAAAACCGCACTGCCACATCGGGGCAGCTTAAGTTCGAGTGGGGGAAGCTTCTTCAGCTGTTCGAAATGCCGGTCAAGCCTACCATATAGCTAGGTGGCGGCACATTGCATGGCGAGCGCTGGGCTCACAAGGCCGTCGGCACACTTCGCGCGCTTCAGATGCGAACTACAGCAAACCGCCGCTCCCGGCCTAAACGTAGAGTGATCTAGCTGGCGTAACAACAGGTGAAAAACCTCCGATGTAACGGACATCACCGGCAGCCGTCACACCTCCACATAACACCTAGCCTGACCATCCGCCAGGCGCCAATCGCAGCAGGACTTGAGAAGGGCCGCCTCGAGCCTGGCCACCGACCCGTCCCGTTGAACCAGTTCGAATGAATCGACTGAGAAGTTGAGGCGCCAGTCGTAATAGCACTTGAGGAGGGCTGCCTCGAGCCGGGGCACCGACCCGTCTGGTTCGGCCCGTCCAAATGCGTCGACTAAGGTGTGCCAAAACTTCGACCCGAAAACTTCGCTTTCTTGTTCGAGTGGTGTAAGCGGTATCAGAACCTGCAGAAGGTTGTTGGGCACCACCCCTATCACTTCGGGGGGAACCGAGGGATAGCTGCCCACGACCTGCTTGGCGCCGAGGGTGACCACGACGTGGGCCGCGACTTTGACGGGGCGCGCGACCCGGGAGAAGACTCTCCAGATGGATCCTGGACCCGTGGCGGATTAGCGCGTGAGACGAGAAGGATGGGAGGGTACTCACTGGAAGGAGGGGAGGGCTTGTTTGATGGGGCGACGAAGGCGGTGGCGATTGTACAAACGCCGCTGTTGCCGTGTGCGTGGGCAAACGCCAGGTTCGTGTCGGCGTCGTCGTGCGCCTGATATGTCGGCGGTTTCTCGTCGACCTCGTTCAGGGTTTGGCCGCACTGTGCCATTTTGGTTCGACCTGGCTTGTCTGGAGGGGAGCGTGAGATGAGCACACGGTCTCTTAACTCGCAGACCGCACCCCTAGACCGGCACGATCCGGGCATGTATAGATGACGTCCATACGGCAGTGCGATCAGCATATATCGTTCTGTACATCCTATGTGTTCCCTCCCTTATTCCAGGGGGTTTCCCTCTCCATCATTTGGGCCCTTCGACCGGTGGGCGGCCAGTCAGGGCGTGGGCGCGGGGCTGCGGTCACAATCGCGATCGGGGTGAGGGCAAGGCGGAGCGACGTACATGTTCGAGCAGCCGGTTGAGCGGCGCCTCGAGATGTATGTACCTGCACGCAGCTGTATACGGAGTCATGTGATGACCCGTGTACACACTTCGCCGTCGGAGAACTTGTTGTTGTTGTTGTTGTTGTATTCCCGTTTAACGCCCTTCAGGGCCGAGCCCTATGGTAGGCGGAATGCTACGTGTGTGCTAAGTGTGTTAACTACAGCCGAATCTGGGATGATAACATAGAGGCGCCCTCGCGGACGCCCCAGGTAGCGGCCAGGGGTCTGGCCAAGGGAGTAAAGTACGGAGGGGACTGGTGAGACCATGTGGGGACCGTGAGGTGGGTAAGGTAGCGGGCGGGTGTGGGAGGGGCATGCATCTGCGTGAAAAACCTCTGCACCCGCTCCCGGCCATTCAAGGCAAGGAGGACGAGATCTAAACCTGCTGCCCGTCAAGGGTGGCCGATGGGCCCCCGGGTCTCGCCTCTTGCCGCAGTCAGGGGTACGTCAGGTGGTCCCCCACCCTCCGTCAGAACTCCCTCGCCCCCTAGAGCAGGGCCGAGGCCTGCAGTGCATGGCGCCGAGGCGCAGTGGGACTATAGTAGGTATAATGTAAGGGTAGGTATAGTAGTAGGGGAGCGTGGGGGTCAAGGGCGGGTACGAGCGGGGCGGGTGCGTGGCGCAGCACTGGTACGAGTGGGAGCGCCAGCGGGTCGCGGGCGGGACTGTCGTGTCGCGCGGGGGCGGGGGCGGGAGGACTCCGGCACCACTGCAGGGCCGGCGCGCGTGGTGAGAGCGGGTGCGAGGTCGCGGGATAGACGGCCCGTTGCGGTGATGAACTTGAAAAGTGGGGGGAAGAGGGAGGAGTCGGAGAGAAGAGCGGAGACCTTTCGGGCAGCACGGCCGCAGGGGGACAGGTGGCGGGCGCGGAGTGAGTCCCATCGTGGGCAGAGGATGAGGTAGTGCAGGACGGTTTCCGGGGCGAATTTGCAGGCCGGGCAGAGCGCGGAGTCTGCGCGCTTGATGCGGAAGAGATGGGCGTTGAGTGGGGCGTGTCCGGAGCGTAGCTGGATAAGAGTGCGAGTCTGGTTGCGAGTGAGTCCCGCCGCAGCTTTGATGAAGGTCGGGGAAGGGAGGTCGGGGTCGATCTTGGCCAGGCGTTTGCCCCTCGTTGATGTCTTCCATGTTTCGGCCGCTCGGGGTCGGAGAACTTGGGGGTCCAGGACCGTGATGCGCGGCGGCGGGATGATGCTTTGTTGGACGAGTGCTCGGCGGCTGCGCCGCGTCATCGATCAGTCATGCCATACGACTCGCGCGCGCGCAAAGGCGACAATGCGAAACGGCGGCACATTGTGTACCTACCAAAGGGTGCTAGCACAGGACTCAGGAAGTCTTTGAAATGAGTCCATCAGCACCCTGCACGCACTTCAAGTGAGAGCCACAGCGGGCTGCCGCTCCCGTACGTAATATATTCTAGCCGATGTAATCACAGGCAGTGCAAGACTTCCGACGAAACGTACATGTCTGGAACGTTCGTTAGCGACCGAACCGCATCTAGACGCAGCAATGACATCGACGCCGAGACGTACCACCGCCCTAGCAGCAAGAAAATTCGAGCGCCGCTCATAATAACATGAGGAGGGCTGCCTCTAACTTCGCCGTCGACCCGTCCTGGTGAACCAGTTTGAATGCATCGTCTGAGAAGTTGAGGCGCCAGTCGTAATAGCACTTGAGGAGGGCTGCCTCGAGCCTGGGCACCGATCCGTCCCGTTGGGCCCGTTCAAATGCATCGACTAAGGTGTGCCAAAACTTCGGACCGAAGACGTCGGCTCCTTGTTTGAGTGATGCAAGCGCTATCAGTACGTGCAGTACGCTGTACGGGACCACCCCTATCACTTCGGGAGGGACCGCAAGATAGGTGCCCACGAGCTGAGTGGCCCCGGTGGTGACCACGACGTGCACCGCGAACTCGACGGGGGGGCAGGACTCGCGGCGGCGCACGGCCCGGTGGAAGCCTCTCCAAATAGTTTCTGGACCCGTGGTAGATTAGCCCGTGAGGCGAGAAGGAGGAGAGGACACTCACTGAAAGTCGAGCAAGGCTTCTTGTGTGCTGAGGGGGCGAACGCGGCGGTGGCGACTATACAGATGTTGTCGCCCACGTGGGTGTGTGTCGTCGTAAGGTTGTCGTGCGCTTGATATCTCGGCGGCTTCTCGTCGACCTCGTTCATGGGCTGGGCGCCGCAGACTGTCATTTTGGCAGGTCCTGGCTTTTCTGAGCAGGGAGCTTGTGAGGAGGACATGGTCTTTTGACTCCCAGACCGCGCTCCTAGACCGGCGCGGCAAGGCAGGATCCGGGAATGCACAGACGTCATCGGCTATTTCCCGATCTCACACGCCCCTGGGCTGCACGTCGTGAGGGTCGTTCTTCCCGAAGAACTTCGAGCCCACGGACGGCCCGACGTGCCACGCCTTGCAAGGCCAGCTGCAGGAGCACATCCTGCTCGAGTGCCCCCGGCGTAGGGAGTCGCGGCGCTCCAGGGGCGAGTTCAAGTTCTTAAGGCTGGACAGCGTAAGTAGAGTCGAAGACTTCAACGCGATCCTGGACAAAAACGGGAGCGCGCTCGAATTTCGCAAATGAGAGAATACAACTGGAGCAGCAAAACGGAGACAACCCACCAGGCGACGCGATAGCGCATCTTGAAGAGCCCTCAGCCAGCCTGCCAATACCCACTGTGCAGTCAGCAGGTGCATACCGCGCCTACATCAGCGCTCAGCGCTCAAACCTAAGTTTGACTAGAGCGGTCGCGCGTGCGCCGTCGCTGTGGCCACGTCGCCCATCTCCCCTCAATGCGGCCCCACCTGATCCGCGGCTTCGTCTCTGTCGGGTGTGTTCAGGACGTCCATCCTCCTCCTCCATCATCTACCCCGACCTCCGAACTGCTCGCTCTTGGGCCGCGCCGCCTCTTCGTCTGCTCCGCACGCTGCGCTCCCCTCTCCCCTCCCTCTCCACTTGTTCTCTCCAGTCCGTAACGGACGCCCTGGTCAAGAAACAACACCTCCTACGATGAGCGCTTGATCGCTAGCGTGCCGGTCCCAACCCGTGCAGAGAAGTAGGTGAGCCGTCCCTCCATCCTCTATTCTCCTGCGGTCGGTGGATGGCGAATGGTGGGCGGTGGCGGAAGTCAATGTCGCCCGGTGATAGTCACAGGGAAGGATGGTGGGCATGCAGGGCCGGGTCGACGGGAGACGGCCGGGCGACCGGCGCATACATCGACTCCCTCCGTCTTCACCGTCTTCACCGTCGCAGACGGGGATCTTCAATTCTGGACGGCGAACCCGGGGACCGCCAGTCGGCGGCGACGCCCGCCTCACTGGCCACGACGAACGAGGGCGGCGACATCGACCCGCCCACAGCGTCGGACGCATCAGGCCCTCCGAAGGAAGCTTCCTAAAGCATGAACAACTCGAATGGCGGCAGCTTGAACATGAGCTCGTCAGATCCGGGTAGCCCTGGTAGACCTATGAAGCGTGAGGTTTCCACTTTTTGCGGAGCGATCTTTCAGCACACTTACGATGGTGTTGCAGACGTTCGTGTTTTGCTCCCCGCTGTGCTTCATTCGCGGACTCTGTATGCTAGGTCTGGATTAGTTCACCCCGTCCCGCCGCAGTACAATTCCTTGCCATGCTCTTTCACATCGTACTTCATCGTTCGTATTCATTTCATGGACACCTCCGCGTGCCGTCTGCGTTCGTCTGTACCATGCACAAGACTGCAGTCAATGATCTACAAGCCGCGTATGTCTCATTCTTCGCTGAACTATAGCTGATGTGCTGTGACTGACCGCTTGCCATCCCCCCAGATCATGTGGGATGCTGGGTCCTCGATGCTCGGTTATTGCACCCACGTTCAGGCTTGCTCTCAGGTCTCGAGTCCGCCTGGGGAGATGGCGGATGTGCGTTCGCAATTTGATTCGGTCCCTGATACTCCGAAGCGGAGGCCGTACCGTAACGAGACGCCTGGCATAAGTATGCTCGCGATCGGCTTTGGTGTGGCTTGTTAAAGCAGTGGAGGGCCAAACCACAGACGTGCGCTGCTGCACTGCTGACGTTTGCATCATCGCGGTTCGTAGTCCAAGACAGGACCCTGTGCCCTCCCCTTTTTCCTGCGAGGAGTGAAGACGGTGTGCAGACCAAAGTACGCTCAGCCTTCCCCACCGTCGTGTTGTCTGCTCACCTCGAATCTGTACGTAGTCAGTGGTTCCAATGTCCTCCCACGTCTCCTGAGGCTCACAGACGAGAATTGTGCGGAGGCCGCGTCGCTGCAGCATGAACCGGAAGATTTTGCCAAAAAGCTCAGCAAGACCCTCAACGTCGAGGAGGGTGCGGACCCCCCGAGTCCCGGCCCAGGTCACCCGGATAGCTGCGCCGCGCGCACGGAGGCACACGAAAAGCGCAAGCACGTCAGCCCCGTCGACAACGGGCCGCAACCAGATTTCCCCAAACAGGAGTAGAAGCTCCACCCGCCGAGTTCGCGCGTCGGCGATGAGGTTGCGGCGTAGGAGATTGAAGTATTTCCTCAGCAGTATGTATCACCGCACCGTATTTCTATCTTCTCATCTTTGGGTTTCGCGCAAAGGCGAGCTAAGAACATCCCTCAGTCCTGACGGCGCGTTCTCGTTGATCTGTGTCTCTGTGTCTACTATGCGCTCACCATGCGGTGGCGGAGTCTGCTTAACGAGGTCTTGGAGGTGAGCGAGAAACATTGCCCCATGATCTGGGCGTTTAATTCACAGTTTTCTGCTTTGAAGAATCCGTATCTCCCTCGTCGCGTAGGAAGTCTGGTGGCCGAGTCTTATACAACGGCGGTGTGTCGGCCCGTGGAGTTCGTCGTTCAACTCGATTACACTCGATCCATCTTTTCAGATACCATCCCTACGCACTCGAAGTTACGACGGCAGCGAGCCCATGCCGGAGCGCCACGACTACGCTCTTCGCCTCCGTCACCAAATTCGACACTCCTTCTCCTCGATCATACGGCGAACACCGACAAATTGGCAGATGATCACGCTCGATGCGGGGCGTACGTGTAACATTCTCCGCGTCTCGGCTGTGACAACGTTCCAGAGGCGAAGACGAGGAGCTCTCGCTGAAAGGACGCTCCTCCACGCATGGCGGGTGTGTCACCCGCACAACTCCGTCCTCCAAACCATGGCTCTCGTCATCCACTCGGAACCTCTAGCAGCAAGGCCGCCGTCACCGTTGCCGTATGACACTTCGCTGTTCATGGCCCCGGTGAGTACGCCTTGCCCCCCCCCCCCCCCCCCCCCCCTGAGCGGCCCCACACGCGTCCTCGCATGGTCGACGAGCGCGGTCGTTTGCCCCCTTTGAGATCGGAAAGCTGATCGCCAGCGCCCGCAGAAAGCCTAAGTCTGAAGACGGCCAGGGCGGCGCACCCACCGGGAATTTGCCCGTGAAGCACGTCGAGCCGAACAGGGTCGGAGAGCAGCTCGAACACGGATCGCATCCTGCGCGGGCGTGGTACAAGAGATGCAAATGGCTGCTGATCATCCCCGTGGGTATCGTCATCGCCGTCGCCGCTGCCGCGGGCGGGGTTGTCGGTTCCACGGTCAGCAAGGGCCACCTGAGCAACGCCGTGACGTCCTCGACGATGGCGATCTCTGGGGACAGCCAGTCGGCGACGACGCCTGCCTCATCGGCTACGACGAACGAGAGCGGCGGCACCGGCACGCCCACAGCGTCGGACACATCAAGCCCGTCGGCCCCGACGCAAGCCTCCCAAAGCACGACCAACCCGAACGGCGGCAGCTTCATCACGAGCTCGTCAGATCCGGGTCGCCCCGGCAGGCCCACCGGTGCCGTATGAATCGTGAGTCAAGTTGCCTTTTCTCCTCAGATCGGTCTTTCAGTCTGCTCACGGCGGTGTGGCAGATGTTTATATGGCTTTGCTCCCCGCCGTGCTTGTCTTTTCCCCGTCGCTGCATGCTAGGTTTGGCTTGGTTCACCCCATCCCTGCAGAACGCCTCCTCTTTCGGCGCGACGCTCGTCTCAAACGACGCCCTCGCAGACCTAACTGGCCGAATCGGGATTGCGAATCTCACCAGGACCCCATACTCCCACCGCGCACCTCGGCAGCTCCAGCGCACCTACGTCCTTCAATGCGCTCGCTGGCCGCCCGTCTACTGTGGCGCGCGCTCGCGGGCCGCGACGATCTGGGGTCTGCACAGTGCCGCGCGGGACGAGCGCGAGGGCGTGCCCGACGTCGTGCCTGGCGCGCAGAGGAGGGAGAGGTGGGGACGTCACTAGCGGTGGAGGACGCGGACGTGCACGGTGCAGGCGCCATGGTGTGGGTGCGCAGAAGAGGGGGAGATGTCACTGGCGGGGCGAGGTTCAGTGGAGGGCGCGGACGCGGTCACAGCGGGAATCGTGGTTGCAGACGCGACGACGGCGTGTGTGCAGGAAGAGGCGGTGCCCGGGTGACGGTGAAGAAGGGCGAGCGAAGGAGAAATCGTTGATGAAGTGCGCTCCTCGCTCGCGACACAGGAGGCGAGGAGTCAAGGATCTGTGGTGGAAGACGTGAACGATGTCGACGTCCGAACATAGGGTCCGAATGCAAACCATTGTTTCTCTTCATCGTGGTGGAGAGTCAAGTCGGTGGACATCTGCGCCTCGGCCCGGCTCGCGGACTTCGGACTCCGGAGGCGAGGATTTTCAGGCGCCTGTCCTCCTCATTCTCTCTCTCCACCGCGTTCTCCATTCTCTCTCGAGCTTCTATGAGACTATATCGTATCGCTGGTTCTGGATACCAACGCAACCAACAATGGACTTGGCGACGTGCAAGCTGTTAAGGTCGACGACACGGGAGCGCCGGGTGCTGGGGAGGTCGAGTAACGCGGACGCGGGGCATCGAGGGACAGCTTTCCCTTGTGAAGGCTAGGGAAGACGGTCGAAGGTGGTGGTAGGGGGCTCGAGCCAAACGTGTCAGGAGCGAGGGGGGTGCGATAAAAGCGCGAACTAGCTATCTATCTGTAAGTTGCCAATTCTTCACCCAAATTTCATGCCTCCCCTCACCCATGCTGGCACGCTCGTCCATCTAAACCTGCGCATGGTTCACCTTCATTGAGGTCGATGGAACTGCGTCGGTACGCCACACGGGTCGACAGTGTAGATCCCGGCACCGATGAGACGAAATGCGTCTCTGATGCACGGCGCCCATGCGCTGAATCGAGGGGAGCGTGGTGGTGATGCGCATGCCGCGCGGCCACGCGCGCGCGGCGCGCCTCGTACCAAACCACCCAGCTGCAACCGCACCTCCACCGGTCTGCGCGCCGCACCAACCACTACCTCACCGACGCCCGCGCCCCATGCCAGCCCGACGTCGCCGCCACTGCGTTGCTGCGCGCGCACGCGGCTCCCTCTCGTTGCCCCACATCTCCCGCTCCGCCCCGTTTCCGCTACTTCTGTCTCATCTATACAATATTCCAGCCTCCTCGGTACATGCTTCGCCCTACCAAACACCTCCGCATGTCTCGCTGCCATAGTTCGCGACCACACGGCGGCCGCGCGGCCTCCACTTTACATTCCCTCGTCTCTCTCCCTACCTTCCTTTCGATTATTCTGCCTCATTCCTTCGCCGGTATGCCCGCTCTCAGCCCGCACAGACTCGTTACTACGCCTCGCACTCACTCGTGTATTTATTCTAGCCGTCGTTGTGCTCTATCGACAGTTTCGACGCCCCCCACACAGCTACTCACCCCAAGCTCTCCGTCCGTCTGCCGCCGCCGCCTCCGCCTTCAGCCCTCCGCCTTCCGCACCTCCGCCTTCAGCCGCCGTCCGTCTCGCCTCAGTCGTCCCGCCGTCCTCCGCCTCGTCTCCGCGCTCATCGCGCTTCTTCTGTCTTCTTCACGCGCTCTTCTTCTCCTCTCGCGCCGGGCCGACTCCCCACGGTGGTGCAAGCTCGACGAGCTCGCAAGCGATCACTTCGCATCCCCTTCTTCGCGCGCCTCCCGGCGTTAGCGTCCCATCAGTGGGCGTGCCGCAGAAGCCACAGCCGTGGCGAATATGCGAGGCACGCTCGACCTTGACTGCGGCTGTACGTGCTCCTCCTTCTGATCACCCGTCTATCCGCTTTTGTCGCGTTCCCCAGAGACCCTCGCACTGACTCCCGCATTGAAAGTCCCTGACGACAGATGGACACTCGCGAACATTGCACAATACCTGCGCCCCCGTACGTCGACTCCACAGCCTGTCCTCCCTATCAAAACCAACTGACGCGTGCCCGCATCTGATCCCACCATCGTTCTGTGGGCTAGGCACAAGCTCTTTGGTTCACCAGCCACCTCTTTCGGCGCGCTGCTGTGCCAACTCGGGACGCCCTCGTCGACGCCCACCGCGCTCTGCATCCCGACCGGCCGACTCTCCCCACCCTCCCCCGCGGACCTCGACCTTCCCGCACCAACCTCGCGAGCTCAACTCGCTCGCCGGGCCACGTCTCGCTCGTCTCCTGCGCCGCGCGCTCGTGGGCCGGGACGGTCTGGGGACGTCATGCCCGGCGTGGCGTGCTCCGAGAAGGCGATCGCGCACTTCCCGCACTTCCGCGCACGTAGTGGCCCGCGCTTTGAGAGGCCGCCCCCGCAGATGGTAGGCTGAGGCCGAAGCGGGGGTGGAGTGCAAGAGTGGGGATGGGAACGCGTCGGACGCGGCCGCGATATGGGGCGTTGGTGCCTGTGCACGAAACAAGAGGGAAGCCCTCGCAGCCGGCGTGGTGTGTGCGTATAATCTGGGAAGTACTACTCCGTTTTTTCTTATTCACTCGCCGTGTGGTACCCCACATCTCCATCGTCGTCTGAGCTCTCCCCGGCGCATGAGTGCCCCGTGCGCGGCGCAATCTTGTCAGTGTCCATGGCTTTCCTGTGTGTGCCGGCGCACCGATCACGTTTGCTGGCCTCCGCCAGCATGACGTTCATTCGAGCAATAAACGGACCGAGACCCCTGGCCCACAGCCTTGGCGGTCTGCAGTTCTCGCAGATTCGCATCAGCATGGGTATCACGCGCATGCAACCCTGAAAACGACGTACATCACCCGGAAGCATCCAGGGCCCTGTGGAACGTCTGGCGGCGGGTGTCCTACGGGCACTGGCTCCTCATCAAAGGACCAGTACGCCCACGGCTCGTGGGGCACACCGTGTTCGTCAAGTGGCTGCTTGTGAAGCCACGCCGTTGCTGTATCCACAGTCACTTGTAAGAGATCGTGGATGACGTTAAATGTCACACATCGTACGCACTGTGTGTACCATGCGTGTGATCTTCGCCAGTGCACGCCCACGCCTCATAATAGCGGGAAGAGACTGTCGCAACATCAGCACCAGAGTGATTCAGGGGAACCAGTGAGCTTACCGAGAAAGAGATCCGATAGGTCTATACCATGTAGGCGGGACAGACGTAGTGCGTGGTCGGTGAAGAATTTGTCGTATGTGTCGCCTGATATGCCGGATCCGATTCCTTTGCCGATGCACCAACGACCTGGGTCGTTCTGGGATGGAACAATGGTAAATTCCTCACTGCAGAGGATGGGATGATAAAAATTATGCTTTAAACAGATGGCTGAACAATCCTGACCTCTCGACTGTGTTGTCCGACCAAGTGGAGTGCTTGAACGGGGTCCTACGCGTGTCGTGGTAAACCCGACACTCTCGATACACAATATCTACTGAGGATTCGAAGACATCATCGATATTTCCGAGGTACGTGAAACGGGGGCCGTCGGGGTGATTTGGAATGTAGCCATAGTCGCCCGGCTTGGCATCGTTGCCAGTGATCTCTAGGATGTGGCACGGCACACCACTGATGATGGAATGCCAGAGACGAGAGAAATTGGAACGAGAGACATGGTCGCGCACCCGTACCAGAGCATCAAAAGTGATCGCCGAGTTGTGCCACACTGGAGCCTCTGCAGATGGTATATGAGCCTGGAACAGAGGTGGAATAGGACAGTCTGTACCGGGAAGGAAGTGCTGCCTATGGTCTCTGTGTGCCTTTAGCAAAGCATCAGTAAACGCTAGGATAATGAACATAAGGAGGATTTTACCTCTGAATATAGGCCAGAGATGCATGTGTATAGACAGGACGCACTCCCACGCTCCAGGTCTTGCACATCAAAAATGAGCTGACCACGTGAATTGATTCCGGCGGAAGGAAAGCAGGGCCCCTTGTGTGCGGGAATCAATGTTTCTTCCTGTGATACATTTGAGTATTTATGTATGAAAGAGCGAAGAAAGAAAGACAATTACAGAATCTAGAGGGAGCAGTGCCCGATGTTCAACGAATTTGACCGCGCTCTGGAGCAGTTTTCAATGCGAATACGTTGCCGATGAATGTGGGCTTACCGCTGCATCGACCAACTGGGACGTTTCCGCTCTTAGCGACCTTTCCTTTGACGATACGAGAAGTGCTCACATGCTGAAAAAGCTTCTCAACCCAAATCACGGGGTCCTTGCTGTCGAAGTCTGTCAATATAGATCTTCGTAGACCTGAACATAGATTTAGTAGCTGTATTATAAAATCTGAAAGCCCACAATACCATCAAGGACATAGAATTGAACTCCAGCACGAGGGTACGCCATAGCGATCACATTGCTGAAGGTTTCGTGGGACTCGCGGCTATGCATACTTCAGAAACGCAATCTGACTGCGAAAATTCGAGTGCGTACTGGTTCTCAGAGTACATTTGAATGCTTTCAAAAACGTTCTATGCGAGAACCATTGTTAAGAAGGATCAGGAATCGACTGGACCACGGTACGTACATCCTTGAACTTGTGGTCGAAGATGCGCACTGTCACCGGACGATTGTCCCATATACCGCTGCGTTGTTCACCATTGTGGGTCCTAGTTTTGTACTGCGTCGTCGTGCGGTCTTTCTGTATCGATGTGAACGGCACGTATGGTACCTGGTAGCAGCTGTGAGAATATCGCTGTGGTCGGCAGAGCGGAGGCACTGACCAAGGTGCCGGGTTCGAATGGAGCTTGCGACTCAACCTGGCTCCTAAGCGATTCAACCTGGCGCTCCAGTCGCACCAGGATCGCGGTCTGTGTGGACGTTCCGTCAGCATCTTGCTGGGTTCGACCAGACCACACCTACGTCAAACGAACGCCACGCATCGTCCAGCTTCAGTAGGCATTCCTGCGCCTTCCCGTGAAGCTTTGCCCGTCGAAAGAAACGATTGAAGCGCCCCTTCTCCAGCTCTCGCTTGACTGCGTCTTGCACCTTCACCAGAGCGCTGCATCCCGATCCGGTGACTAAGCCGTTCCACGAGCACGATGAAACCACCCACCTGTGTAGCTCCAGCAAGATGACCTGCATGTCCACACCGATCGTCCCCCCGTTCGACCCTAGAGTCTTCTTCTGAACGTACTCGGCGAGGGCCACCGCGCGCTCAGCGACGGAGACGAACGCGTCTGTGTTCGCTCTCGATTGCTGTCGTGCGAGATCAGGACGGGTCAGACGCAGGCGGGCGGATGTGAGGAATGCGCACCTCGACGGCCTTCGCGATTCCGAGTGCGGCGGCGATGATGCCGCCGAGGAAGGGAACGGCCCCGACGGCGCTTGCAGCATCTTTGAGAGCCTCGAGGATGGTGATCGAGTTGGCGAGCACGTCGTCCGCGATGCCTTCGCTGACGAGGGGCCGCTGTTCGCGACCGGGACGCGACGGCTGACCCATGGCGGGAGCTGTGAGGGAGAGAGAAGCCATGGGCTATCAGCGCACGCGTCCTCGGCATGCTTATAGCGGTGTCTCCATTGTCAGAGAGCTGTGCGCGAGAATTCGAAGCTCGAGCCTCGTGTGTTCCGCACCGACTTGGGCCTTGGACGCTCTAAGTTTTCAAGTCGTGCTCTCTGGGCCCGTTGCGAGTCCACACGCGAATGTGCACGTCCGATGCGTGGAAATCGCGCGTCCTGACTGCCAAGTGAGTATCGAAGCCAGGACCGCGGTCTGAGATGTCGAGTCGCGGATTAGGCGCACATGTATACGCGTGGTGGGAAGCACTGGCGAAAGCTATATTTCTGTGCCGGGCAGCCACAGTGGGCAGGTACTGCATGCCACTAATACTGGGAACGCGTAAATTACTTCCCCGCAGATGGCACAGCGTGCACACAGCAAACAGTGATCACCGCCATGTCATAGAGGGACATGTTCCGCGGGGATCCCCTCCGCTCCAGGCCTGGCTTCCTGTCGATGAGGGCTCGGCAACCGTGTCTCGAGCGCTGCATATACCTGGCTGGCCGCGAGCGGAGGCTCCCAGTCTGACGAACGGCGGAGATGTGGGCGCTCAGGGCACGTTCGCCGTCGGGGCTGGAGCGGTCCCCGCCGTCGCCGACGCTCTGGACGCTCAGATGGTCGGATGGAGCAGTGCGATATCTGAAACCAGGATGCGGAGATTAGCTGGGGATTGGACGTGCCAGTGGCTCGCGCGGCGCCGCGGTCATCCCCTCGTTGTTCTGCGAGTGCATGCACGGCAGGGACCGCGAACGCGGAAACGGGCCCGATCGTCCAGTCCCTCAAGATGCCGGTCCCATTTCAAGGGGTTTTTGGTAGGGCCTCCCTCATCAACATCCCCCGCCCAGAATCGGGACGTTGGGGTACACCGCTCCCCCGTCCGTGGCGGCTCGTGACAGCGGTCGCGTTGGGAGGCGTCGCGTCGGGCGCGCGGCTGGTCTCCCGCGCTCCGCCCGGACACGCGGACGACGTGCGTCGCACGTAGCTCGCGTTGGCTGCACACCCTCCCGCCCTGAGCGCGTGCCTACGACACTGCCGCGCACATGCATGCGCGCTTTACGCAGCGACATCGACATGCAGGGAAGAGGGGAGTTGGCACCCACATTCGTGTACTCGTCCACCCCGACCATCCGTCGGGTGCGCAGGGCCATCCTGGGCGGCTGTTCGACGGCGCGTTTGTATTGTGCGAGACCGGCGGGGTGATAGGCGGGAACGGGAGCTCGAGCAGAAGGGAGGGCGGGGTAGGCAGGGTGGAGTCGCGGAAGAGGCAGAGGGCGCGGAGGACCCGAGAGTAAGCGAGGACGCTCTGGATGGGTCGATACAGAGTCTGCATTGGGAGAAAGAAGGTGTCAGTGACCGACCTCGCGCGAGAAAAGCCAAGGGGAAGAATAGAAGGCAGTGTGGAAAGCTGGGGTGATCCACAGAGATCGGGAGAGAGAGACCAGAACGCGCGAAATGCACACAGAGCGGGCCACGAGAGCACCTCGTCGACGAGCTTCGCGGTCAGCGCCCTTCGAGATTCTCCCCAAAGTCACCCAACGCCGCCCTGCGGTCATGACTACGCGTTCGTGGCAGACGAAGGAACGCACCAGTGCTGCGAGAGGTCTCGGCCGGGAGAGCAGGGTGATGCCATTCTCGATGTGCTCGTCGTCCGTGTTCCGGAGGTCAAGGGTTTTGTACAGGGCCCGCGTGCGAGAGAGAGCAGGTGCACAGGCGAAAACAGGTCCGGGGATATGGCGGCCAGGCGACGACGGCAATGCTTTACCGGGCATCTTGGTGCTCGCCATCGAGCGGCCTCCGCAGCGGGGCGCATGCTGACGCGCTGTCGCTGGATGAGCGGGTCGACACAGAACAACTCGCCCGCGATATCCTCACCTTCTCCTGGCCCGCTTGCCCGGCCGCCGGCATGCGGATGCAGGGCGATCGGGCCGGGGTCGGCGAACTACTGCGCCGATACGAGAGCGGTGTCACGACATGGCCGACAGGGGCAGCCGCGGACGTTTGGGTATTGGAGTGGAGCTTGGTGGCAAGTCGGTTGAAGGTGCTTGTGGACGACGGAGGGCGGCTTGTCGACGGAGTAGACCGAGGCACCGCTGCAGCTGGCATACATGTCCGGCGTGACGAGCGCGCGCCGGGGGCGATTTGTGTTCCTACGGGAGCCGGAGAGGAAGGACATGGTGCAAGCAACACATCCACAGCTGCGCAGGGAGGAGTGAGGGAGAAGAAGTGATAGAAGAGAAGAGACTAGAATGCTCACGTGGTAATCGATCCGGCCGTCAACCTGCCTCAGGTTCACCTGCACGTATGCGCGCGCGTTGAACGCCGGGTTCCATTGGGGTCGGGAGGGAACAGGCCGTAGATAACGAAGGCCGGGCTGGGGACAGTGACATCCGAGCTGGTGAATAGGAAAGAGGCCTCGGGAATAAGTGCATTGATCACGGCGATCCACTGTACGACCAACGCCCACGTCAGTGGCTGTATGTTCCCAGCACAAACGAACCACGCGTCGCGCGCGAGCATCACGCACCCTTCGCGCCCTTCTCCAGCGCGGCATCCACCGCCGCGACGCCACTCGGCCAGTTCCCGGTGACGCTGAGCCGGGGGTGTGTCATCGCGCTCCGACGAGCGCACGACGTCGCCCTCCAACACCTCCTCTTCGAGTCGTGACCCTCCTTCTTCTTGTCGTCCGACGCGTCCCCGCTGTTCGTGCTCCTTCGTCAGGCTCTGCCGACGCGGGAGCCATCGCGAGCCCTGGCAGCGTGCCCGGCCGGGCTCCGCCGTGAGCGCGGAAATGAGCGCGGGAAGATGAGGGAGAGGCGAGGACGTCACCAGCGATGGAGGACGCTAACGTGGGTGTAGACGCGGCGGTGTAGGAGGGGGAGACGTCACCGGCGGGGCGAGACTCGTTGGAGGGCGCGGACGCGGTCACAGCGGGTATCGTGGTTGCAGACGCGACAGCGGTGTGGGTACAGGAAGAGGCGGTGCGGTGGAGACGGTGAAGAAGGCCTAGGGCGAGCGGAGGAGAAATCGTTGATGAGGAAGCACTTGAAGAGTGCTCCTCGCTCGCGACACATGATTCGAGGACTCAAGGATCTGTGGTGGAAGATGCGAATGATGTCGACGTCCGAACACTGGGTCCGAATGCAAACCTTTGTTTACCTTCATCGTGGTGGAGAGTCAAGACTCAAGTCGATCGAACAGGGTGGGTGACGAGAGACTGCGGCCATCCTCCATGGCTGCTAATAAGAGACCGTGTAGTCAAGATAAAATTGATACTGACCGAGTGCGGCGTCCACGAAGACCGCTAGCGGTGGGGCTAGCGGTGGTGGTGGACAAGTTGAGCCCAGTCAAGAGAGCGCGCCACACAACGCGCGCCGCGCGAGAACAGGCGCGAACGCGTCGCGTCGGGGCCGCTGGGAGTCGAAGCGGGCGCGCCTCTCATCCTTCAGTAACACTCACTCGCGCGCGCCGCGCGCCGCCTTCCACTCCTCACATCCCACATTCCAACCTCGTATACATGAACCTATCTGCATAGAACCGACAACCGCCGCGGCGATATCCAGCCCCGCGTGGCGACTCTTGCTCACAGGGCTCGACTTCCACCTGGTTGACATTGGCACCGTCTTCGACTGCTACCTCACCGATCCAGCCGTCCAAGACATGCAACAGCACTCGTTCAAGACCGCGGGGTCCGAGCAGCTCGCTCTCATTCCAGGTATGTCTGCGCGTGACTCGTTTCGGCCCTCCTTTTCACATCGCGGCGCAGGGGACGGCTTGCGCGCGGACCTCCTCATTTCGCCTGGTTCCTGGTCCACCGAAGGTCGTCGCTTCTTACCTAAGGTCCATTATTGAGGAGCGTAGGGCATGGGGTATGTCTCATACGCGTGTCCCCACGGAAAGCAAGCCAGGGCATGTCGCGCTCACCGGTACGTCGCCATTGCTTCGTTCTTCTGCGTGCGGTCGAACATTGCGCTTCCAGGCGGGATGTACGAGGAAGTGTCTGCTGTGACGGAGGTACGTGGGTGTCTAGTGTTGTTCTGCGTCTCCTGACTGATTGTGCACCAAAGGCGCACCCGGTGGGTGGCCTCCCTCGATCCCAACTCCCATCCGACTTTCAACCTGGAGGAGGTCGACTTCGACTCCGTGTTCAATCACACAGGCGCGACCTTTTTCTTCGGCTCTTCGAACTTTCTGTCAATTTTCAGCGCGTGGAGCGACTCCTGGAAAGCCTGGTGGAGGAGATGTGGTGCTACGGCGAAGAGGAGGACTTAACGAAAGGTATGTTCCAGTCTTTGCGCAAGCTCTTGGGAGACCGAACACATCCTAGATGCCACGTCTCTGGACGTCTGGGTTATGGAGCCCCCGCGCGCCCTCCTCCACAACACACCCTCGGACGCCACGCCCGTTTGCAAGGCAGGCAGACTGTTTTTCCTGCATTTGCTCGGGCTCGACACCACCGGTCACTCGTACCGCCCTCATCCAAGAGTACGGTTTGCATGCCTTTCTGGCGATCCGACCCTCGTCCTCATATCGAGCCTGCAGGAGTACTTGACGAACATTCAAGTAGTGCACCAGATCGCCAAACACACGGAAGAGCTCTTTCTTGAGCTCTACTCGGACGACGAGAGAGCGTACGTCTTTACCCAGTCTTCAAGACAACCATCTTCATCCTCGTGCGTGCTTTCAACTGTCCTCGTCCTGATGACTGACGTCGGTCTCTGCTCATGGAACAGCTTAACAACCTCGGCTGGTCGCTATTCCTAGTGGCCGACATCGCCTGGGACGGCAACCTACGCGACAAGAAAGGCGTTCCACCTGAGTTTCATAGGCCTGGGTCTTTTCCGTGCGTTTGCTTGCCCCCTTTACTGTGAAGTTCATTTGCTGACCGTGTGGGTAGTATACACCGCCGCGCTACCCTTCGTTTTTCGCGTCGACCGGACACGCGCGTTTCTTCCTCGGACGTGGAGTAGCCTTCGTGTGGCTGGCGATTGCTGTGTTCTACGTCGCGTATTCGCCGACGCCCACAATGTGGGTCGAAGTTGAGGCAGCGCTGCCTCAGGCGTCGGATGAGGGCCCGGGAAGACAAGTCGAAGATTGTCCACGTGGCTACATACAAGCCGCGGGCGGATGACCTGCGCAGAGCGGTCTTCGTCTCTGTTTTGCGTTCAGGTGGCCGGAACGTGAGTGTCCTAAAGTCGCTCTTGTTCGCACGCTGACACGCATCGTAGCGTTGCCTCGGTATCGTACGCATTTTGCGTTCGTGCTGAGGCGTTCCAATCACTGATGTCAGCTCCCGTATACCGTCTAGCCCCGGTCCTTAACCCGTTCCTCATGGCGGCCATCTTGGTTCGTCGATACCCATCGTCTGTACTCCGACACCAGCTGACTATGTGCCCACTTATATTCAAGATGGTTGCTTCCTTCACCATCCTCGCGATCCACTTGAATGCACGCTTCTCGCTCCCCCGTTCAGCCTCTCCCTCGTCGTCCCTACCTTCACAGATAGTACGTTGCCTTGCTCATTCCTCTCCGCTTGGTCTGACCGCATTTGTTGCCAGTCATGACGATTACCTTCTTCCGGCTCGTGGCTGGAATTCGGCCGGACGATCTCGGTCTTCCGCATCAACTCGCCCCTGCTGGTCTGGTCGGCGAGTATCTGCGCGCTGGGCGCCGTTCTCGTGGCGCCGTTTGAGGAAGCGCAGGTGGCCGTGTTCAAGGGGACGTTGTAGCTGCTGGTGGTGGCTTCGCGCCATGGTCAGACCCGTCTGGTATGCAGTCACGTCTTTTCTACTAGATCTCATTTCTCAAGTAAAGCGTGCTGCTTTCGGCCGATGCCCACATTTCAAATATGAAATGAACGGCGGACGGTTTCTTGCTCTGCGTCCAATGTAAGGAGTCCGGGAACGCCCGCAAGACGCCTCCCCACGGACGCCCTATCCCATCATCCCGACGTCGGGATATCCTCTCACTTATGTGCCTTCACTCGGTGCTCCGCCGCGGTGCCGCGTCCCCTCAACGTGGCACCCAGAAGTGCGGGAACCGCGAGCCGTTTGCGCCTCGGTCGTCAAACCACCCATGGGATCGCCAGTGAAGCGGGATTCGCCAGTCTGCGGCCGCAAGCTCCCGTTTCACACCGCACTGGAGTCTGTGGAGAAACGAGGGGTATAGAATATGATGGTTATGACTGTGCTCGGACACACTTTTCCGCCGCCTTCTACACCGTGAAAGCACACGGCCAACATGCCTGAGTGAATCACCCTCTACGGTCGCTCGGTGAGTGCTGGACGCTCTTCTCATTGCCTCACCTCGGGCTGATACCTCTTGCAGTACCCCCCCTACGTTCACTGCCGCGTTGTCAGCGTACTGGAAGCGACCGAGGCCATGCACCAGTACTACGCCGTCAACCTCATGGACAGGTCGGTCTGGGGCAGCATCTCGCCGACGGCCAAGGTAGTCAAGCCCCTCTTAGTCCACTATCGTTTTCTCATCGTCTTTTCCGCCTCAGATTCCTTTCATCACCTATTGCGGCCCGAGGTCCCTCCCGACCAGCCCTCGCGTTCGTCCGAGAAGATCACCGAGTCGCTCATCATCGCCGATGAGTACCCCTCCGCAGGCTCATCCCCACCGATCCGATCGCGCGTACACGCCTGCGCCTCTTCGTCAACCAATGGGAGTCCTCAAGGGAGGCCGCGGTCCGCGCCGCACTGATGAACACTGGGCCCGTCGACGCGCGCCTGCAGGCGCCCTTGGGGCAAGCAAGTTCGCGGTCGGGGACGGGCTCACGCTCGCGGACGTCGCCGTTGCGCAGTTCCTGTTCCGGCACTACCACCTCATGCGGCACGAGACAAGCACCCGTTGGGCGAGGTTCGTCGACCGCCTGGAGGGGCCCGGGTTTGCGCGGTTCCGCGAGTATGCGGAGGCGGTCAAATCGCACCCGAGCGTCAAGAAGACGCATGATGAGGTCCGTAGTCAGCTTTTGTGCGGGGTGTTGGTACTGATCGTGTATGGCGCGGCTTGTAGGCTGTTTACGCGGCTCCCGTACCTCGAGCGCGATTAAAACAGCAGGCGCCGACGACGGATGGCCACGCTCACCAGGCACAAGCGGCCTGCCGATCCACAACGCCGCGGCATCCCTCACCGCCGCTTTCTCCGCTGTCTTCGTGCATCAGCGGTCCTCCGTCATGTTCTACGGGAATAGCCACTCAGGATCGGTGGGCAGGTCTCTGATCCAAGAGCGGTCGTTGGTGCAGCCTTGCAGAGCATGGTGGTAAGTGTCCCCAACTGTATGCCCACCGTCTCTCCCCCGTTGACGTCTCTTTGCCTTCAGGCCGGGTACACTCATCGCCCGCTATGAAGCGCATGGGTCACAGGGAGGGATGGTGGGCATGCAAAGCTGGGTCGACGGGAGACGGCTGGGAAGGAAACCGACGCATACGTACATCGACTCCCCCATCTCCGTCTCTACCGTCCCAGCCGTCCCAGCGCGGGTTCTTCCCTCCTGAAGGCGGAGCGCTGACCATGCTCTCCGCGCACGCCCGCAGGAATGACGCAACATCTCGGAACCCCGAGACGAAGGCTCTCGCGCGCGCGCCCCGCAACGCTCGGCGCGGCGAAGGCGGAGGACGGGCACGCGTGCACGGCGTACCGCGCCCCCGCACGGCCGTGGTACAAGACCCGCAAGTGGCTGCTGATCTTTTTCGTCGCCGGCATCGTCGCCGCCGCCGCCGTCGTGGGCGGCGCCGTCGGCGTCACGGGCAACCAGGGCCACACCAACGCCCTGACGTCGTCGACGGCGGCGAACCCTGGGGAAAGCCAGTCGGTGACGAAGCCCGCGTTGTCGGCTACGACGAACGAGAGTGGCGGCACCGGCACGTCCACAGCGTCGGACACATCAGGCGCATCGGCCCAGACGCAAGCCTAACCCGAATAGCGGCAGCTTCATCGCGAGGTCGTCAGATACGGGTAGCCCTGGCAGGCCCATCGGCGCCGTATGAGTCGTGAGTCAAGTTCCCTTTTCCCCTCACATCAGTCTTTCCGACTGCTCACAGCGGTGTGGCAGATTTTTATATTTGCTCCCCGCCGTGGTTGTCCGTTCCCCGTCGCTGTATACTAGGTTTGGATTAGTTCGCCCCATCCCTGCACAATGCTTCCTCTTTCGGCGCGACGCTCGTCTCCAACGAAGCCCTCGCTGACGCGGCGCACCTCGCCCTGCGCCCCAACCGGTCGATTGAGGATCCCGCCCGCCGCGGACCTCGACCTCCCGGCAGGGCCCGATCTCGCTCAACTCGCTCGGCAGCCGCGACTCTCTCGTCCGCTGCGTCGCACGCTCGTGGGCCGCGACGGTCTGGGGCCTGCACAGTGCCGGGCGGGGCGGGCGAGGGCGTGCTTGACGTCGTACCCCGCACGGCGTGCTCCGAGAGGGGGATCGCGCAGTTATACGTAGAGTGTGGAGAGGAGGCCCGCGGGGCGCTCGTAACTGCAGTGAGCGTGCCTGTGCGTCAGACGTTCGCAAAACATGTGGGGGGAGAACGCACCAGAGCGAAGTAGCGGCGAACGGCAGACTGCTCCCGCTGTACATGGCTCCTGCCGCGGTGGTCCAAGTAGCGAGTCAGTGGAGGCGACGACGAACGTTTGGCCCTTGAGGACGAGCGTGACTGGCGCGGAGATGTTCGAGGGCTCAGGGAGGAGCTGCATGCAGGGTTATTCAGACAGAGCCTTGTGGAAGCTACAGCGACCCGGCGTAAGCACGAGGCCTGAGTGGAAAGGAGGTGGAGCGCATACAGCGAGGGAAAAAAGACAAAGAGCAGGACTCACGGGACGTCACGCACCATTCCGGAGGAGAAGATGCAGAGTGCGAGGAAGGCACGCCCGTGTTCACAGCGGCCATGTTCAGAGCAGAGGGAAGGTGAGGAGGCAGAGGCGGAGAGCGCATGGGGCGCGCTGAGCCGTCTCCGCCGTGAGCGCTCGAGGGAAGGGGAGCGGGAGGGACGGCCCGACGGCCGTGCTCGGCCGGCACCAGCAGACTGAAGGCGTCAACTCCGGGCTGGGACCGCATTCCACCCCCGACCAGTCCCTTTCCTGATCAATGCCCTTTTGAACGCCCCATCTGGCGAGACGGTCTCCTGTGGCATCTCCCCATCGCGCTCATATGCGTTCTAGGCAATCGTCCGCCCACGAGAACTCGTTTTCGCCTCACTCAGCATACTGCCAGGGACCAAATATACGCGTACCCGCCATTCCACCATCCCGCGCCCGCCGCTCATCCATCCCATCCTGGCTCCGTACCGCACCCTTGCAGTGTTCGCAACCTTGATGATGACCGCGTACGCGTCCACTGCCGTGTCCCGCCCGCCAAGTGCGTACTCTGACTTCATCCCCAAATGCTGCCCCGCTTCCTCGCGCGTGCTCCCCCCGCAGCCTGGACTCCCCCCGAATGCTTGCCCGTCGTCTAGCCGACACCGTCAATCTCCACGCGCTCGGGCCTATCACTGTAGCGGCGCGGATGACTGCGGGTGGCGGCAAGGCCGACGCGCGCCGCACCATCGCCTTCGCGCTACAGAAGACGGCGGGCTCGGTGCGTGCCAGCTGCGCTTCGTGTGCTCCGCCCCGTTCTCGCTGAGCGATCGCACCGCGTCAGGCTGTGGGCGCAGCTTGCACCCGCACTGCGCGCTCGGCGGACGCTGCGACGGCAGTGCGTTGGAGCCACCCTCCTCGGACGGCGTTGGCACAGACACCAAGATCGTGCCGATTGCTATCTTCTGGCACGCTTGGACTGCGTCAGTCCACTAGTCGGGTCGACGGTGCGGATTCCGGGCACGATCCTGGCACCTGAGAAGAAATGCGTCTCTTTTTCATGACGCGCATGCGCCGATTCAAGAGGGTGGGCATGGCGCAGAAGACAGACCTGTGGCCAGTTTGCGAGGCATGCTCGACCTTGACTGCTGTGCGTTCTCCTATTTGTGATAACCCGCGCGTTCCTTAGAGCCACACTGAAACCCGCACCGAAAGTCACCGGCGACAAATGACCACTCGCGCACATTGCACACGACCTGTGGCCCACTGTACGTCGACTCCACAGCCTGTCCTCGCTATCACCTCACGCGTGCCCGCCTCCGATCCCACCAGAGTTCCAGGAGCTCGGGTACACGCTCTTTCGTCCACCGGCCACCTCTTTCGGCGCGCCGTTGGTGCTAATCAATACCCTCGTGGACGCTCACCTCGCTCTGCATCCCAACCGACCGACTCTCCCCCGCGGACCTCGACCTTCCCGCACCGACCTCGCGAGCTCAGCTCGCTCGCCGGACCACGTCTCGCTCGTCTCCTGCGGCGCGCGCTCGTGGGCCGCGACCGTCTTAGGATGTCGTTCCCGGCGTGGCGTGCCCCAAGAAGGCGATCGCGCAGTTCACGCACTTCCTCGCACGCAGTATGAGAGCGCGCGTTCTCCGAGCGCGGGCCGAGGCCGAAGCGTAAGTGGAGTGCGAGAGTGGGCATGGGAACGCGTCGGACGCGAGCGCGATATGGGATATTGGGTACTCGTGCCTGATACAATTTCGAAGCGCTGCAGGAGTACATCTCTCGGTCCGCCTAGCAACTGGCGTGGCGTGTGCGTAGAATCTGGGAAGTACTACTATGTTGTTTCTTATTCACTCGCAGCTGTGTGGTACCCCGCGTCGTCGTCGTCGTCGTCGTCTGAGCTCTCTCCGGTGCATGAGTGCCCCGTGCGCGGCGCAATCTTCTCAGTGTCCATGGCTTTCCTGTGTGTGCCGGCGCACCGATCACGTTCGCTGGCCTCCGCCAGCATGACGTTCATTCGAGCAATAAACGGACCGAGACCGCTGGCATACAACCTTGGCGGTCTGCAGTTCTCGCAGATTCGCATCAGCATGGGTATCACGCGCATGCAACCCTGAAAATGACGCACTCCACCCAGAAGCATCCAGGGCCCTGTGGAACGTCTGGCGGCGGGTGCCCTACGGGCACTGGCTCCTCATCAAAGGACCAGTACGCCCACGGCTCGTGGGGCACACCGTGTTCGTCAAGTGGCTGCTTGTGAAGCCACGCCGTTGCTGTATCCACAGTCACTTGTAAGAGATCGTGGATGACGTTAAATGTCACACATCGTACGCACTGTGTGTACCATGCGTGTGATCTTCGCCAATGCACGCCCACGCCTCATAATAGCGGAAATCGACTGTCGCAACATCAGCACCAGAGTGATGAGTGTAACTGGTGAGCTTACCGAGAAAGAGATCCGATAGGTCTATACCATGTAGACGGGACAGACGTAGTGCGTGGTCCGATCGGTGAAGAATTTGGCGGGTGTGTAGGCTGGTATGCCGGATATGATTCCTTGGCCGATACGCCAACGACCCGGGTCGTTCTGGGATGGAACGATGGTAAATTCCTCGCTGCCGAGGATGGGATGATAAAAACGATGCTTTAAACAGATGGCTGAACAATCCTGACCTCTCGACTGCGTTGTTTGACCAAGTTGAGTGCTTTAACGGGGTCCTACGCATGTCGTGATAAATCCGACGCTCGACACACACAATATCGACTGAGGATTCGAAGACATCATCGATATTTCCGAGGTACGCGAAACGGGGGCCGTCGGGGTGATTTGTAATGTAGCCATAGTCGCCCGGCTTGGCATCGTTGTCAGCGATTTCTAGGCTGTTAAGCGGTATAATCTGTCTGGCGACGAAATCCCAGAGACGGGAGAAATTGGAATGAGAGAGATGGTCACGCGCCTGTACCAGAGCATCAAAATTGAACCCCGAGTTGTGCAAAACTGGAGCCTCTGCAGATGGTATACCGTATATGAGCCTGGAACAGAGGTGGAATAGGACAGTCCTTACCAGGAAGGAAGTGCTGCCTATGGTCTCTGTGGGCCTTTATAAAAGCATCAGTAAACGCTAGGATAATGAACATAAGGAGGATGTTACCTCTGAATATAGGCCAGAGATGCATGTGAATAGACAGGATGTATTCCCACGCTCCAGATCTTGCACATCAAAAATGAGCTGACCATGCGAATCGATTCCGGCGGAAGGTAAACAGGGACCTTCGTGGGTGGCAATCATCGATTCAACCTGTGGTACGTTTGAGATCTCAGGTATGAAAGAGCGAGGAAAGAAAGACAATTACAGATAATAGGGGGATCAGTGCCCGATCTTGAACGAATTTGACCGCGCTCTGGAGAAGTTTTCAATGCGATTACGTTGCCGGTGAATGTATGCTTACAGCTGCATCGACCAACTACAATGTTTCCTCCTTAGCCAGCTTTCCTTTGACGACGACACGAGAAATGCTCACATGCTGATAAAGCTTCCTAACCCAAACCACAGGGTCCTTGTTACCGAAGTCTGCTAATATAGATCTTCGTACACCTGAATATACGTTCAGTAACTGCATGATAAAAGCGGAAACGGTGCACTACCTTCCAGGACATAGAATTGGGTTCCGGCCTGAGGGCGAGCCATAGCGATCACATTGCTCAAAGTTTCGTGGGACTCCTGGCTATGCGTACTTCAGAAACGCACTCGGACTGCGAAAATATGAGTGCGTACTGGTTCTCAGAGTACATTTGGATGCTTTCGAAAACGTTCTGTGTGAGGACCGTCGGTAAGAAGGATCAGGCATTGACTGGACCATGGTACGTACATCCTTGAACTTGTGGTCGTACATGCGCACTGTCACCGGACGATTGTCCCATATGCCGCTGCGTTGTTCACCATTGTGGGTCCTAGTTCTGTACTGCGTCGTCGTGCGGTCTTTCTGTATCGATGTGAACGGCACGTATGGTACCTGGCAGCAGCTGTGAGAATATCGCTGTGGTCGGAAGAGCGGAGGCACTGACCAAGGAGCCGGGTTCGAATGGAGCTTGCGATTCAACCTGGCTCTTAAGCGATTCAACCTGGCGCTCCAGTCGCACCAGGATCGCGGTCTGTGTGGATGTTCTGTCAGCATTTTGCTGGGTTCGACCAGACCACACCTACGTCAAACGAACGCCACGCATCGTCCAGCTTCAGTAGGCATTCCTGCGCCTTCCCGTGAAGCTTTGCCCGTCGGAAGAAACGATTGAAGCGCCCCTTCTCCAGCTCTCGTTGACTGCGTCTTGCACCTTCACCAGAGCGCTGCATCCCGATCGGCGACTAAGTCGTTCCACCAGCACGATGAAACCACCCACCTGTGTAGCTCCAGCAAGATGACCTGCATGTCCACGCCGATCGTCCCCCGTTCAAGCCCAGAGTCTTCTTCTGAACGTACTCGGCGAGGGTGGCCGCGCGCTCAGCGACAGAGACGAACGCGTCTGTGTTCGCTCTCGATTGCTGTCGTGAGAGATGAGGACGGCGCAGACGCAGCCGAGCGAATGTGAGGAATGCGCACCTCGACGGCCTTCGCGATTCCGAGTGCAGTGGCGATGATGCCGCCGAGGAAGGGGACGGCCCCGACAGCGCTTGCAGCATCCTTGAGGGCCTCGAGATGGTGATCGAGTTGGCGAGCACGTCGTCCGAGATGCCTTCGGTGGCGACGAGGGGTCGCTGTCCGGGACCGGGACGTGGCGGATGAGCCATGGGGGAATCTGTGGGGGAAGGCATGGGCTATCGGCGCACGCGTCCTCGGCGTGCTTATAGCGGCGTCTCCATTGTCGAGAGCTGTGCGCGAGAATTCGAAGCTTGAGCCTCGTGCCTTCCGCACCGACTTGGCCTTGGACGCTCGTCGGTGGCTGGAGTTTTCAAGTCGTGCTCTCTGGGCCCGTTGCGAGTCCACACGCGAATGTGCACGTCCGATGTGTGGAAATCGCGCGTCCTGACTGCCAAGTGAGTATCGAAGCCAGGACGTGGTCTGAGATGTCGAGTCGCGGATTAGGCGCACATGTATACGTGTGGTGGGAAGCACCGGCGAAAGCTATATTTCTGTGCCGGACAGCCACAGTGGGCAGGTATGCATGCCACTAATACTGGGAACGCGTGAATCGCAGATGGCACAGCGTGCACACAGCAAACAGTGATCACCGCCATGTAGTAGAAGGACGTGTTGGGGCCCCCTCCGCTCCAGGCCTGGCTTCCTCTCGATGAGGGCTCGGCAACCGCGTCTCGAGGGCCGCATATACCTGGCCGGCCGGCGGAGGCTCCCAGTCTGACGAACGGCGGAGATGTGGGCGCTCAGGACGCGTTCGCCGTCGGGGCTGGAGCGGTCCCCGCCGTCGCCGAGACGCTCAGATGGTCGGATGGAGCAGTGCGATATCTGAAACCAGGATGCGGCGATTAGCTGGGGATTGGACGCGCCAGTGGCTCGCGCAGCGCCGCGGTCTTCCCCTCGTTGTTCTGCGAGTGCATGCACGGCAGGTACAGCGAACGCGGATAGACCGGGAGAATCGGGCCGATCATCCACCGTCAAGCGGCTGGTCCATTTGGACGGGTTATTGGCAGGGCCTCCCTCATCGACATCCCCGCCCAAACGGGGCCGTTTGGGTACGCTGCTCCCTATCTATTACGGGTCCTAATGCGGTCGCGTCGGGAGGCGTACGGAGGGCGCGAGACTGGTCTCGCTCCCGCCGTGAGGACACGCGGACGACGTGCGACCGTCGTCCACCTGCACACCGCGCGCGGGCTGCATTCGCTGAACACCATCCTGCCCTGAGCGCGTGCCTGCGACGCCGCCGCACACATGCAAGCGCGCTCTGCGCGTGATATCGACATCCAGGAAGAGGGGAGTTGCACCCACCTTCGTGTACTGTCCGCCTCGACCATCTGTCGGTGCGCGGGGTCATCCCAGGCTTGGCTGGACAAGGCTCAACGACGGCGGATGGGGAAATTCCTGGGCCGGGATCTGAACCCAAGGGGGCTGGAGATCAGCGGAGGGATGACGTGTATATGCATTAGCACTGTAGGATCTGAAAAATACGCCACGCACGTCGTAATCCTGAAAGGCGTCGTGCACGTAGCGACAGAGCAACTGCGTTAACGCGCGGGCGCAGGGTTTCTCGCGCATTTGCATTGTACTGAGTGGCCTTTCGAGAGTTCGCATCAGGTCCTGGAGACAACCGAATGCCTCTGCTCACCCAGAGAGCAGGAGCGCGACGGCAAGCGAGCGCAGGGTGGCCTGATGTTATTGCGTGCGGGTGGAGAGTGCTCGCGGACGTGGCCAGCCGCGGAAGGGATTGAAGGCGCAGAGAGGGACACCGAACCGCGAAGAACCGGAGGGGGTCAAAGCGAAGCGCCAGATCCCCTCCGCGCCCGGTCCCAAGCGTCCGCAGGCCTGCGTCCTCACATTCACGCGCACGGCGCGCAGCCCACAAACTCGAACTGCGGCCCCTCGTCAACCGTCCGGTTCGGGAACACGCCTCACTCCGCGCCCGGGAGGAAAAGGACCGCGCGAAACGTCGGCCGTGTCTTGCACCCTCCGAGCGCAAGGTGCGCATGCTCGTGCACGCGCGGGAGCGGCGCGCACTCCGCCGACGCAAGCGCGTGGGAGCTGCCAAGAGGTCCTCCCGCCTTAGCGCGCGGCGGACAAAGACGGTAGGAAGATGGAAATGGGGCTGTTCCATGGCGCGCTTGGGTTGGGCGAGATTGGTGGGGCGATAGGTGGGAGCGGGAGCTCGAGCAGAGGGGACTGCGGGTAGGCAGGATCGGGCGTGGAGAAGCGGGAGACTGGGAGTGAGTGAGAACGCTTTGGTGAGTCGACACGCGTCTGTGTGGTGAGAAAGAAGGCGTTAGTAACCGACCTGGCGCGAGGAAAGCCAAGGGTAAAACAGACGCAGCGTGAACGGCTAAAATGCTCCACAGAGATCGGGGGAGAGAGACGAGAAGGCGCGAAATGCACGGAGAGCGGGCCACGAGCACACGAGCGTCCAGCGCCCTTCGAGCCCCTCCACGAAGTCACCCAACGCCGCCCGCGGTCATGACTACGTGTTCGCGGCAGGCGAAGGAACGCACCAATACTGCGAGCGGCATACGTCGGTGATGTCCTTCTCGATGTGCCCATCGTCCGTGTTCTGGAGGTCGAGGGGCCTTGAGTGCCGCAGCGGAGAACTCCATGCAGGTACATGCGAGAGAGAGAGAATATAGGCGAAAGCAGGTCCGGGGATATGGCGAGCAGGCAACGACGTGGATGCTTGACTGGGCTTTTTGGTGCTCGCCATCGAGCGGCCTCCGCAGCGGCGCGCGCTGTCGCCGGATGAGCGGGTCGGCGCAGAAGGACTCGCCCGCGATATCTTCACTTTCTCCTAGCCCGCTTGCCCGGCGGCCGGCATGCGGATGCAGAGCGATCGGCGGGGATCGGCGAACGACTGCGCCAATACGGGAGTGGTGTCGCAACATGGCATACTGGGGCAGCCGCGGACGCTCGGGTGTTGGAGCGGAGCCTGGTGGTAATTGGGTTGGAGGTGGAGGGGAAGTGGATGAGCTTGCGGACGACGGAGGGCGGCTTGTCGACGGAGTAGACTCAGCTACTGTCCCAGCTGGTATACACGTCCGGCTTGACGAGCGTGTGCTGGGGGAGATCTGCTTTCTGACGGGAGCGGGAACGGGAGGACTTCGTGCAGGCAACGAATCCACAGCTGGGCGGGCACCGAGGTGTGAGGGAGGAGAAGAGAGAGAAGAGAGAGACGAGAAGAGACTAGAACACCCACGTGGTAGTCGACACGGTCGTCAACCTGAGGCCTGTTCGCCTGCACGGATGCGTGCGCGTTGAACACCGGGTTCCCTTGAGGTCGGGAGGGAAGAGCTCGGAGTCGATAACGAAAGCCGGGAGTGGAATGGCGAAATCCGAGCGGGTGGATAGGGAAGAGACTTTGGGAATGAGCGTGTTGATCACGGCGATCCACTGTACAACCAACGTCCACATCAGTGACTGACATCTTGTCGTCGCACGCGAGCATCACGCACCCCTTCGCGCCCTTCTCCAGCGGGGCATCCACTGCCGCGACACCACTCGCCCCGTTACCGGTGACGCTGAGCTGGGAGGGTGTCGTCGAGCTCCGACGAACGCACGACGTCGCCCTCGAACACCTCCTTGCCGAGTCGTCGCCCTCCTTCTTGTCGTCCGACGCGTCCCCGCTGTTCGTGCGCCTTCGTCAAGCTCGGCCAACGCGGGAGCTATCGCGAGCCCTCGCAGCGTGCCGCCGCGCCTCCGCAAGCGCGGAAATGAGCGCAGGAAGAGGGGGAGAGGTGGGGACCGCGTCACCAGCGGTGGAGGACGCGGACGTGCACGGTGCAGGCGGTGCGCAGAAGAGGGGGAGATGTCACCGGCAAGGCGAGGTCAGTGGGGGGCGCGGACGCGGTCACGGCGGGAATCTTGGTTGCAGATGGGTGCAGGAAGAGGCGCCGGCGGTGCCCGGGAGACGGTGAAGAAGGGCGAGCGAAGGAGAAATCGGTGATGAAGAACTTGAAGCGCGCTCCTCGCTCGCGACACAGGAGTCGAGGACTGAAGGATCTGTTGTGGAAGGTGTGAATGATGTCGACGTCCGAACATGGGGTCCGAATGCACACCTTTGTTTCTCTTCATCATGGTGGAGAGTTAAGTCGGTGAACACAGCCTTCGCCGCGGCCCGGCTCGCGGACTCCGGACTCCGGAGGCCAGAATTTTCAGGCGCCTATCATACGCATTCTTGTCTCCTCTCCACCGACTCCCCTGGCGTTTCCCATTCTTTCTCGAGCTTCTATGAGACTATATCGCATCCCTGACTCCGGTTATCAACCCAACAATGGACTCGGCGACGTGCAAGCTGTTACGGTCGACGGCACGGGAGCGCCGGGTGTTGGACAAGTCGAGCAACGCGGAGGCGGGGCACCAAGGGACAGCTTTTCTAGGGAAGACGGTCGAAAGTGACGGTAGGCAAAAACGTCAGGAGCGGGAGACGCACGGTAAAGGTGCGAACTAGCTATCTATCTGTAAGTTGCCAATCCTTCATCCAAATTCCATGCCTTCTCTTGCTCGTCCTGGCATATTCGTCCCCCTACATCTGTGCATGCTTCTTCTTCATTGCGGTCGACTTTACTGCACCAGTTCGCTAGACTAGTCGACAGTGTAGATCCCGGAACGACCCTGGCACCAACGAGACGAAACGCGTCTCTGATGCGCGGCGCCCTGCATGCGCCGAATCGAGGGGAGCGTGCTGGGCGTTCTGCAGAAGTCACCCCGGTGGCCAATTTGCGAGGCACGCTCGGCCTTGGCTGCAGCTGTACTTGCTCCTGTTTCTAATCACCCGTTCATCCCCTTATCTCGCGTTCCTCAGAGGCATTCGCGCTGACACCCGCACAGTCGCCGACGACTGATAGCCACTCGCAGACATTGCACAATACCTGCGCCTCCGTACGTCGGCTCCACAGCCTGTCCTCGCCATCAAAACCAACTGACGCGTGACCTCCTCTGATCCCACCACAGTTCCGTGGGCTGGGCACAAGCTGTTTGCTTCACCAGCCACCTCTGTCGGGGCGCTGCTGTGCCAACTCGGGACGCCCTCGTCGATGCCCACCTCGCTCTGCATCCCAACCGACCGACTCTCCCCCGCGGACCTCGACCTTCCCCACCGACCTCGCGAGCTCAACTCGCTCGCCGGACCACGTCTCGCTCGTCTCCTGCGGCGCGCGCTCGTGGGCCGCGACCGTCTTAGGATGTCGTGCCCGGCGTGGCGTGCCCCGAGAAGGCGATCGCGCAGTTCACGCACTTCCTCGCACGCAGTATGAGAGCGCGCGTTCTCCGAGCGCGGGCCGAGGCCGAAGCGTAGGTGGAGTGCGAGAGTGGGACGGGAACGCGTCGGACGCGAGCGCGATATGGGATATTGGGTACTCGTGCCTGATACAATTTCGAAGCGCTGCAGGACTACATATCTCGGTCCACCTAGAAACTGGCGTGGCGTGTGCGTAGAATTGGTATATGTTGTTTCTTATTCACTCGCGCTGTGTGTACCCCGCGTCGTCGTCGTCGTCGTCTGAGCTCTCTCCGGTGCATGAGTGCCCCGTGCGCGGCGCAATCTTGTCAGTGTCTATGGCTTTCCTGTGTGTGCCGGCGCACCGATCACGTTTGCTGGCCTCCGCCAGCATGACGTTCATTCGAGCAATAAACGGACCGAGACCCTGGCCACAGCTTGGCGGTCTGCAGTTGTCGCAGATTCCATCAGCATGGTATCACGCGCATGCAACCCTGAAAACGACGTACTCACCCGAAGCATCCAGGGAACGTCTGGCGGCGGGTGTCCTACGGGCACTGGCTCCTCATCAAAGGACCAGTACGCCCACAGCTTGTGGGGCACACCGTGCTCGTCAAGTGGCTGCTTGTGAAGCCACGCCGTTGCTGTATCCACAGTCACTTGTAAGAGATCGTGGATGACGTTAAATGTCACACGTCGTACGCACTGTGTGTACCGTGCGTGTGATCTTCGCCAGTGCACGCCCACGCCCATAATAGCGGCATCGACTGTCGCAACATCAGCACCAGAGTGATTCAGGGGAACCAGTGAGCTTACGGAGAAAGAGATCCGATAGGTCTATACCATGTAGGCGGGACAGACGTAGTGCGTGGTCGGTGAAGAATTTGTCGTATGTGTAGCTGGAAGCGGAAAGGATTTGTTGGCCGATGCACCAATGACCCGGGTCGTTCTGGGATGGAACAATGGTAAATTCCGCACTGCAGAGGATGGGATGATAAAAATGATGCTTTAAACAGATGGCTGAACATCCTGACCTCTCGACTGCGTTGTCTGACCAATGGAGTGCTTAACGGGGTCGCACGCTTGTCGTGATAAATCCGACGCTCTGATACCAATATCGACTGAGGATTCGAAGACATCATCGATATTCCGAGGTATGTGAAACGGGGGCCGTCGGGGTGATTGTAATGTAGCCATAGTCGCCCGGCTTGGCATCGTTGTCAGGATTCTAGGTGTGGACGGTATATGTCTAGCAGAAATCCCAGAGACGGAGAAATTGGAACGAGAGACATGGTCGCGCGCCTGTACCAGAGCATCAAAGTGAATCCGAGTAGTGCGCAACTGGAGCCTCTGCAGATGGCATATGAGCCTGGAACAGAGGTGGAATAGGACAGTCCTACCAGGAAGAAGTGGTGCCTATGGTCTCTGTGGGCCTTTAGCAAAGCATCAGTGAACGCCGGATAATGAACATAAGGAGGGTTTTACCTCTGAATATAGGCCAGAGATGCATGCAATAGACAGGATGCATTGCCACGCTCCAGATCTTGCACATCAAAAATGAGCTGACCATGCGAATCGATTCCGGCGGAAGGTAAGCAGGGCCCTTGTGTGGGGAATCACTGTTTCAACTGTGAGACATTTGAGATTTTAGGTATGAAAGAGCGAGGAAAGAAAGACAATTACAGATAATAGGGGGAGCAGTGCCCGATCTTGAACGAATTTGACCGCGCTCTGGAGGAGTTTTCAATGGATACGTTGCCGATGAATGTGGGCTTACCGCTGCATCGGCCACTGGGACGTGTCCGCTCTTAGCGACCTTTCCTTTGACGATACGAGAAGTGCTCACATGCTGAAAAGCTTCTCAACCAAACCACGGGGTCCTTGCTGTCGAAGTCTGTCAATATAGATCTCGTAGACCTCAACGTACATTTAGTAGCTGTATTATAAAGCTGAAAGCGCACACTACCGTCAAGGACATAGAATTGGACTCCAGCATGAGGGTAGCCATAGCGATCACATTGCTGAAGGTTTCGTGGGACTCGTGGCTATGCGTACTTCAGAAAGCAATCGGACTGCGAAATATGAGTGCGCACTTGTTCTCAGAGTACATTTGAATGCTTTCGAAAACGTTCTGTGCGAGACCATGGTGAGATGGATCAGGTATCGACTAGACCATGGTACGTACATCCTTGAGCTTGTGACCATACGTGCGCACTGTCACCGGACGAGTACCCAATATAGCGCTGTATTGATAACCGTGGTGGGTCCTGGTTCTGTACGGTATCTTCGTGTGGGCTTCTGTGCGCTGTATATCTGTCAATGGCACGTATCGTACCTGACAGCAGCTGTGAGAATAACGCTGTAGTTGGAAGAGCGGAGGCACTGACTAAGCACCCGGGTTCGAATGTAGCTTGCAATTCAACCTGGCCCTTAAGCGATTCGACCTGGCGTTGAAGCGATTCACCGTGGCGCTCGAGGCGCACCAGATCGCGCTCTGTGTAGACGTTTCGTAAGCATATTTCCGGGTTCGACGAGACCAACCTACATCAAACGAGCGCCACGCATCGTCCAGCTTCTGAAGGCATTCCTGCGCCTTCCCACGAAGCTTTGCCCGTCGAAAGAAACGATTGAAGCTCCCCCTGTCCAGCTCTCGCTGGACTGTGTCTTGAACCTTCCCAAGAGCGCTACATCCGTATCGGGTGACCAAGCGTTCCACGAGCAGGATGGAACCACCGACCTGTGTAGCTCCTGCAGGATGACCTGCATGTCCGTGCTGATCGTCCCCCCGTTCGAGCCCAGAGTCTTCTCCTGAACGTACTCGGCGAGGGCGGCCGCGCGCTGAGCGACAGAGACGAACGCGTCTGTGTTCATTCTCGATTGCTGTCGTGGAGATGAGAACGGCGCACACGCAGGCGGGCGGATGTGAGGAATGCGCACCTCGACGGCCTTCGCGATCCCGAGTGCGTGGCGACGATGCCGCCGAGGAAGGGGACGGCCCCGACAGCGCTTGCAGCATCCTTGAGGCCTCGAGGATGTGATCGAGTTGGCGAGCACGTCGTCCGCAGCGCTTCTGGTGACGAGGGGCCGCTGTCCGCAACCGAGACGGGGAGCCATGATGAGAGCTGTGAGTGAGAGAGAAACCATGGGCTATCAGCGCATGCGTCCTCGGCGTACTTATAGTAGTGTCTACATTGTCAGAGACCTGTGCGCGAGAATTGGAAGCTCGAGCCTCGTGTGTTCCGCACCGACATGGGCCTAGGACGCTCGTCGGCGGAGTTCCCAGGCCGTGCTCGCTGCGTTGCGAGTCCACACGAGAGTGTGCACGCACAATGCGCACGTCTGCCGCGTGCAGGCTGTGCGTCCAGACTTCCGAGTAAGCATGGAAGCCAGGACCGCCGTCTGTCCGCGGCCGTGCAGGCTCAACGAGACGTCGCGGCGTGGATTAGGCGCGCGTATATACGTGTGGTGGGAAGCACTGGCGAAAGCCACTGCATGCAGTCGGTGTCGGTCAGCCGTGGGCAGGGACTGCACGCCACCGATAACGGGCACGCGCGTTTTACTTCCCCACAACTTGGAGCACAGCACGTACGAAATGTGCGCAATATGAATAAATGATCACAGCTATGTCGTAGAGGGACGTGTTTCGCGGGGGCCACGAGGCTCCGCTCTAAGGCCTCCTGTCGATAAAGGCTCGGTAATTGTGTCTTGAGGGCCGCATATACTTGGACCGAGGCTCCCAGTCTGATGAACTACGGAGATGATGTGGGCAGGCCTCAGGCCCAAGGCGCGTTCGCCGTCGGGTGGGGCGGAGATACCAGAGTAGCGCCCGCCCCACCCCGCCGGCGCCGTCGCCGAGGCTCTAGACGCTCAAGCCCAGGCTGACCGGATCGTCGGATAGAGCAGTGCGATTTCTGAAAACAGCATGCGGCGATCAGCTGGGGATTGGACGCGCCAGTAGCCGGCGCAGAGCGGTCTTCAATTCGCTGTTCCGCGAGTGCATGCACGGCAGGGACCGCGAACGCGGATGGATCGGGAGTATTAGGCTCGATCGATTCGATCATTGGCCAGCCGCAAGTTCGTCGTCCGCGATCCCTCGAGCGGCTGGTCCATATGGATGGGCTTTTGGCAGGGGCCTCCCGCATCGACATCCCCGCCCAGAACGGGGCCGTTGGGGTATGCCGCTCCCCCATCCGTGGCGGGTCGCGACGGCGGTCGCGTCGGGAGGCGTCACCGAGGGCGCGCGACTGGTCCCGCGCCCGCCGCGCGAACACGCGGACGACGTGTGGGCAACGTCCACCTGCACGCCGTCGCGCGGGGCTCGCGTTCGCTGCACACCCTGCTGCCCTGAGCGCGTGCCTGCGCCGCTACCGCACACATGCACGCGCGCTCTGCACAGCGACATCGATACGCATGGAAGAGGGGCGCAAATTTGCACCCACCTTAGTGTAGTCGTCCACCCCGACCATCCCATGTCGGGTGCGCGGGGTCATCCCGGTCGGAGCGCTAGAGCTAGAACAGCGTGGATTGGGCGAGGCCCAACGACAGTGGACGGAGGAAAGCCTGAGCCGGGAGCTGAACGCGAGGGGATCTGGAGATCAGCGGAGGGATGGCATGTATATGTATTAGCACTGTAGGATGCGCTGAAAGAATACGCCACGCACGTCGTAATCCTGAAAGGCGTCCACCTAGTGACCGAACAACTGCGTAAACGCGCGGGCGCAGGGTTTCTGGCGCATTTGCATTGTGCCGGAGTGGCCTGTCGAGAGTTCGCATCAGGTCCTGGAGACAACCGAATGCCTATGCTGACCCAGGGGGCAGGAGCGCGACGGCAAGCGAGCGCAGGATGACCCGATGTCATTGCGTGCAAGCGGAGAGCGGAGCTCGTTTGGAGAAAGCGGATGTGTTGCCAGTCGCGGAAGGAAGCGAAGGCGCGACACACAACCGCGAAGAACCCGGAGGGTCAAAGCGAAGCGCCAAATTCACTCCGCGCGCGGTCCTAAGCATCCGCGGGCCTGCGCCCTCACATTCACGCGCATGGAGCGCAGCCCACAAACCCCAACTGCGGCCCCCCGCCAACAGTTTGGTTCGGGAACACGCCCCACTCCGCGCCCGGAAGGAAAAGGCGGCGCGAAGCGTCGGCCCCACCTTCCACCTCCCGAACGCTACGTGCGCATGCTTGTGCACGCGCGGGAGCGGCATGCACCCCGCCGACGTGAGCGCGCGGGCGCGTCCCAGAGGTATTCCCGCGGTGGCGGGCGGGCGGACGAGAACGAGTAGGAAGATTAAAATGCGGCAGTTCCATGGCGCGCTTGGGCTGAACGAGACCGGCGGGGTGATGGGCGGGAGCGGGTGCGAGAGCAGAGGGACGGCGGGGTAGGCTGGGGTCGCGTCGCGGAAGAGGCGGAGGCTGGGAGGACCCGGAATCAGGGAGGACGCTCTGGATGAGTCGATACAGAGTCTGCGTGGGGAGAAAGAAGGCGTGAGCACCGACTTCGCGCGAGAAAAGCCAAGGGGAAAACAGAAGCAGTGTGGACAGCTGGGATGCTCCACAGAGATCTGGAGAGATAGACAAGAACCGCGAAATGCACAGAGAGCGGGACGGAGCGTACCTCGTCGGCGAGCATTCAGCGCCCTTCCAGCTTCTCAAAACGTCACCCAACGCCGCCCGCGGACATGGCTGCGCGTTCGCGGCAGGCGAAGGAACGCGAGCTGTCTCCGCCGCGAGCAGGGCGATGCCTTCTCGATGCGCTCGTCGTCTGTGTTCTGGGGTCGAAGGCTTTGTACAGGGCATGAGTGCTGCAGTGGGAACTCCTTGCAGGTGCGTGCGGGGAGAGCAGTTGCATGGGCGAAAGCAGGTCCGGAGATATGGCGGCCAGGCAACGACGGCGATGCTTGAGTGTCCTTTTTGGTGCCCGCGCTCGAGTGGGGGACATGCTGACGCGCTGTCGCCATATGAGCGGGTCGAAGCAGAAGGAGTCGCCCGCGATATCCTCACCTTCTCCTAGCCCGCTTGCCCGGCGGCTGGTATGCGGATGCACAGCGATGGGGCGGGGGTCGGCGAACGACTGCGCCAATACGGGAGCGAAGTCGCGACATGGCATACTGGGGCAGCCGCAGACGTTCGGATTTTGCAGTGGAGCTTGGTGGCAACTCGGTTGGAGGTGGAGGGCCCCGGGGAAGTGGACGAGCTTGCGGACGACGGAGGGCGGCTCGTTGACGGAGTAGACCGGGCCGCTGCCGCAGCCGGCATTGACGAGCGTGGCACGCTGGGGCGATCACATTCCGACGGGAGCGGAAGAGGAAGGACTTGGGGGAGGCGCGCCTCTATGACATTGATGGCAGGCCTTCTGATTCATACTTTCCATATATGCGGTGGCTGATCACTGCTTCAATAGTTTCGTGACTTTCGTATATACTATATTAGACATGTGCTCGCGCGGCCACTCGTCGGACGACGGGGCGTCTACAGGACAGCGCTGGAGTCGGCGTGCTGCCGTGCTTATCTACGTAGCGTTCCGGGATCACCTCCGGTAGAGGAGGTGATTGAACTGCCCTCTCTCTCTCTCTCTCTCTCATCCCTCAACAACACTCACTCGCGCGGGCCGCCTTCCACTCTTCACCTCCCACATTCCGAGCACGCATGCAGGACTCTGCCTGCATAGAACCGACAACCGCCGTGGCGACATACAGCCCCGTGTGGCGGCTCCTGCTCATCGGGCTCGTCTTCCACTTCCTTTGCACTGGCACCGTCTTCTACTGCTACCTCACGGATCCAATCGTCCAAGACATGCAACAGCACTTGCTCAAGACTGTGGAGGCCAAGCGGCTCGTTCTCGTTGTCGGTAAGTCTGCGCGCGGACCGTTTTGCCTCTCCATTTCACATCGCGGCGCAGGGAAGGGCTTGCGCGCGGACCTCCTTCTCGAGAAGCACGGATTCCCCGTTGTTAAAGATCGTCGCTCCTCACCCGAAGTTCACCATCGAGGACCGCGGTGCATGGGGCATCTCGCATACGCATGTCCCCACGGAAAGCAGGCTAGGGCATGTCGCACTCATCGGTACGTCGCCGTTGCTTCGTTCTTCTGCATGCGATCGAACATCGCGCTTCTAGGCGGGATATACGAGGACGTGTTTGCCATGAAGAAGGTACGCAGGTCTCTGGTGCTGTTGTGCGCGCGCCGACTGAGTGTACACCAAAGGGCTGGAAGACGAACCTCGATTCCAACCCCCATCCGACCCACAACCTCGCGTAGGTCGGCTTCGACTCGGTATTCAATCAACCAGGCGCGACCTTTTCCTTCGGATCTCCGGAACCTCTGCCATGTACGCGCGCGGAGCAACTCCTAGGACCTAGAGAGGTGGAGACGTGGTGGTATGACGAAGAGGACGAGGACTTTACGGAAGGTGTGTTCTCATCTTTGTGCAACTTGTTGCGATACCGAACGCGTCCTAGATGCCACGTCTCTGGAGGTCTGGACTATGGAGCACCCGGACGCCCTCCTCCCAACACAACCTCCCACGCCCGTTTGCAAGGCAAGCAGACGCTACATTTGCCCCGGCTCGACACCACCGGTCACTCGTACCGCCCGCATTCAAGAGTACGTTTTGCATGCCGTTCCAGCGATCCGACCCTCGTCCTCACATCGCGCTCGCAGGAGTACTTGGCGAACATTCAAATGGTGGACTAGATCGCCAAACACAAGGAAGAGCTCTTTCTTGAGCTCTACGCGGACGACAAGACAGCGTACGTCTTTACCTGGTCCTCAAGACAACCATCTTCATCCTCGTGCGTGCTTTCAACTGTACTCGTTCCGATGACTGACGTCGGTCTCTGCTTGTTGAACAGCTTAACAATCTCGGCTGGTCGCTATTTCATCGCCTGGGACGGCGGCTTCCGCGACAAGAAAGGCGTTTCATCCTGTGTTCCGTTTCATAGGCCGGGGTCCTTTCGGTGCGTTTGCTGACCGTATGGGTAGTATCTACCGCCGCGCTACCCTTCGTTTTTCGCGTCGGCGGAGTCAGCCTCACGCGCGTCTGCTCAGCTTTTCCCTCGGACGTGGAGTAGCCTTCGTGTGGCTGGCGATCGCTGCGGAAGGCTTGTTCTACGTCACGTTTTCGCTGACACTCACAACGTGGGTCGAAGTTAAGGCAGCGCTGCGTCAGACGGCGGCACAGAAGCCGCGGGCGGAGGACCTGCGCATCGCGGTCTTCTTCCTGCTCTTCGTTCAGGTGGCCGCCTTTGGCGCAGGAAAGTGAGTGTCCACCTTACAGTCGCTCTTGAATGCAGACTGACATGTATTGTAGCGTTGCTCCGATATCGTACGCATCATGCGCTCGTACCGAGGTGTTCCAATCACCGACGTCAGCTCAGTTCCTTCTACCTAGAACCGTGTACTGTCTAGTCCCAGTCCTCGACCCATTCCTCATGGTAGCTCTCTCGGTGTGTCGTCGGTACTTCAACATGAACTAAGTATGCGGCCACAGGTCTTCAAGATCGTTGCTCCCCGAATCATCCTCGCGATCTGCTTCTCCATCTCGAACGCGCGCCTCTCACCCTCACCGTTCAGTCTCTTCCTGGTCGCCCTCACCTGAACAGAAAGTACGTTGCATCGCTCATTGCTCTCGGCTTGGCCTGACCACATCCGTTGCCAGTCATGCCGACCACCTTCTTCCGCCGCGTCATCGACACCAGCTCGTGGCCGGAAATCGTCAGCTCACTCCTGCTGTCTGGTCGGCGGGTATCTGCGCGCTGGGCGAGGTGGTCGTGGCGCCACCAGCGGACAGCGCAAGTGGCCGTGTCAAAGAGGACGGAGTGGCTGCTTCCGGGCTAGCGACCGGTGGTGGCATGGTCAGACCCCTCTGCACCCGCCGCCTTCTACACCGTGAAAGCACACGCCAACATGCCTGAGCGAATCGCCCTCTACAGCCGTTCGGTGAGTTCTGGACGCTCTTCTCATTGCTTCTCCTCGGGCTGATACGTCTTGCAGTACTCCCCCTACGTCCACCGCCGCGTTGTCATCGCACTGTAAGCGACCGAGTCCCTCCCGACGAGCCCTCACCCGAGTCTGAGAAGATCCCGAGTCCCTCGTCGTCGCCGCGCTCATCGCCGAGTAGTACCCCTCCGCAGGCCTCGTCCTCACCGATCAGATCGCGCGCACACGCATGCGGATCTTCGTCGACGAGTTGGAGTCCTCAGGGGAGGCCGCGTTCCCCGCCACGCCGATGGGCACCGGGCCCGTCGACGTGTACGCGCGCCTGCAGGCGCCCTTGGGGGCAAGTAAGACGTCGCCGTCGCGCCGCTCCTGCTCCGTAACGAGTACCTCATGCGGCACGAGACAAGTACCCGTTGTGCTCGGTTCGTCGACCGCCTGGTGGTGCCCGGGTTTGCGCCGTTCCGCGAGTATGCGGAGGCGGTCAAAGCGCACCCGAGCGTCAAGAAGACGTATGATGAGGTCCGTAGTCGGCTTCTGTGCGAGGTGGTGATACTGATCGTGTATAGCGCGGCTTGTAGGCTGTTTACGTGGCTCCCGTACCTCAGACGTGATTAAAACAGGAGGCGCTGACGACGGATGGCCACGCTCACCAGGCACTGCAAGCGGTCTGCCGATCCACAACGCCGCGGCATCCGTCACCGCCGCTTTCTTTGCGAAGCAGCGGTCCCCCGTCATGTTCTACGTGAATAGCCACTCAGGATCGGTGGGCAGGTCTCTGATCGAAGGAGCGGTCGTTGTTGCAGCCTTGCAGAGCATGGCGGTAAGTCTCGCCAGCTGTATACCCAACACCTCTCCTCCGTTGACGTCTCTTTGGTTTCAGGCTGAGTGCACTCATCGCCCGCTATGAAGCGCATGGGTTACAGGGAAGGATGGTGGGCATGCAAACCCGGGTCGACGGGAGACGGCTGGGGAGGAAACCGGCGCATACATCAACTCCCCCATCTCCGTCTCCACAGTCTCCACAGTCCCAGCTGTCCCAGCGCGGAGTCTTCAAACGTGAAGGCGGAACGCTGACCATGCTCCCCGCGCACACCCGCGGGAAGGATACGACGTCTCGAGCCTCCTGGACAAAGGCTCGTGCGTGCGCCCCGCCATGCTCGACACCGCAAAGGCGGAGGACGGGTACGCGGGCACGGCGCACCGCGCCCCCGCGCGGCCGTGGTACAAGACCAGAAGGTGGCTGCCGACCTTCCTCGTCGCCGACATCGTCGCCGTCGCCACCGTCGTGGGCGGCGCCGTCGGTGTCACGGCCAACAAGGGCCACACCAACGACCTGACGTCGTCAACGGCGGCGAACCCTGGGGACAACCAGTCGGCGACGACGCCCGCGTCGTCGGCTACGACGAGCGAGAGCGGCGGCACCGGCACGTCCACAGCGTCGGACACATCAGGCGCATCGGCCCAGACGCAAGCCTCCCAAAGCATGACCAACCCGAATAGCGGCAGCTTCATCACGAGGTCGTCAAATATGGGTAGCCCTGGCAGGCCCATCGGTGCCGTATGAGTCGTGAGTCGAGTTCCCTTTTCCCCTCAGATCAGTCTTTCCGATTGCTCACAGTGGTGTGGCAGATTTTTATGTTTGCTCCCCGCCGTGGTTGTCCGTTCCCCGTCGCTGTATACTAGGTTTGGATTAGTTCGCCCCATCCCTGCACAATGCTTCCTCCTTCGGCGTGACGCTCGTCTCCAACGAAACCCTCGCTGACGCGGCGCACCTCGCCCTGCGCCCCAACCGGCCGATTGAGGATCCCGCCCGCCGCGGACCTCGAGAGCTCGATCTCGCTCAACTCGTTCGCCAGCAGCGACTCTCTCGTCCGCTGCGCCGCACGCTTGTGGGCCGCGACGGTCTGGGGCCTGCACAGCGCCGGGCTGGACGGACGAGGGGATGCTTGACGTCGTACCCAGCACAGCGTGCTCCAAGAGGGGGATCGCGCAGTTGTACGTAGAGTGTGGAGAGTAGGCCCGCGGGGTGCTCGTAAGTGCAGTGAGCGCGTAAGGGCGTCAGACGTTCGCGGAACACGCGGGGGGAGAACGCACCGGAGCGAAGTAGTGGCGAACGGCAGAGTGCTCCCGATGCACATGGCGTCTCGGAGGGCGTTGAAGGAGAAGTTCCTGCTGCGGTGGTCCATGATGGGGAATACCGAAGTAGGCCGATCTTTCCGCGAGCGCGTCAGTGGAGGCGGCGACGAAAGTTTGGCCCGTGAGGAAGAGCGTGACGGGCGCGGAGATTTTCGAGGTCTCAGGAAGGAGCTGCATGCAGGGTTATTCGGACGGAGCTTCGTGGAAGCTACAGCGGCCCGGTGTAAGCACGGGGCCTGAGTGGAAAGGAGGAGGAGCGCATACAGCGAGGGGAAAAGACAGAGCAGGACTCACAGGGCGTCGCGCACCATTCCAGCGGAGAAGATGCGGGGTGCGAGGGAGCAGCGGCCGTATTTACAGTGGCTATGTTCAGAGCAGAGGGCGGGTGAGGAGGCAGGGACGGAGAGCGCATGGGGCGCGCCTCCGCCGTGAGCGCTCGAGGGAAGGGGAGCGGGAGGGACGGCCCGACGGCCGTCCGGCACACTGAAGGCTTCGCATGATGACAAGGCTGGGACCGCATTCCAACCTGACCACTCCCTTTCCTGATCAATGCCCTTTTGAACGCCCCATCTGGCGAGACGATCTCCTGTGGCATCTCCCCATCGCGCTCAGATGCGTTCTAGGCAATCATCCGCCCACGAGAACTCGTTTTCGCCTCATTCGACATACTGGGGACCAAGTGTACGCGTACCCGCCATTCCACCTTCCCGTCCCCGCCGCTCATCCATCCCATCCTCGCTCCGTGCCGCACCCGTGCAGTGTACGCAACCTTGATGATGACCGCGTACGCATCCACTGCCGTGTCCCGCCCGCCAAGTGCGTACTCTGACTTCATCCCCAAATGCTGCCCCGCTTCCTCGCGCGTGCTCCCCCCGCAGCCTGGACTCCCCCCGAATGCTTGCCCGTCGTCTAGCCGACACCGTCAATCTCCACGCGCTCGGGCCTATCACCGTAGCGGCGCGGATGACTGCGGGTGGCGGCAAGGCCGACGCGCGCCGCACCATCGCCTTCGCGCTACAGAAGACGGCGGGCTCGGTGCGTGCCAGCTGCGCTTCGTGTGCTCCGCCCCGTTCTCGCTGAGCGATCGCACCGCGTCAGACTGTGGGCGCAGCTTGCACCCGCACTGCGCGCTCGGCGGACGCTGCGACGGCAGTGCGTTGGAGCCACCCTCCTCGGACGGCGTTGGCACAGACACCAAGATCGTGCCGATTGCCATCTTCTGGCACGCTTGGACTGCGTCAGTCCACTAGTCGGGTCGACGGTGCGGATTCCGGGCACGATCCTGGCACCTGAGAAGAAATGCGTCTCTGTTTCATGACGCGCATGCGCCGATTCCAGAGGGTGGGCATGGCGCAGAAGACAGACCTGTGGTCAGTTTGCGAGGCATGCTCGACCTTGACTGCTATGCGTTCTCCTATTTGTGTTCACCCGCACGTTCCTTAGAGTCACACTGACACCCGCACCGAAAGTCGCCGACGACGGATAAGCAATCGCACACATTGCACACGACCTGCGCTCCCGTACGTCGACTCCACCGCCTGTCCTCGCTATCACCTCACGCGTGCCCGCCTCCGATCCCACCAGAGTTCCAGGAGCTCGGGTACACGCTCTTTCGTCCACCGGCCACCTCTTTCGGCGCGCCGTTGGTGCTAATCAATACCCTCGTGGACGCTCACCTCGCTCTGCATCCCGACCGACCGGCTCTCCCCCACGGACCTCGACCTTCCCGCACCGACCTCGCGAGCTCAGCTCGCTCGCCGGACCACGTCTCGCTCGTCTCCTGCGGCGCGCGCTCGTGGGCCGCGACCGTCTTAGGATGTCGTGCCCGGCGTGGCGTGCCCCGAGAAGGCGATCGCGCAGTTCCCGCACTTCCGCGCGCGCAGTGGCCCGCGCTCTGAGAGGGCGTATTCGCCGAGCGCGCGCCGAGACCGAAGCTGAGGCGGAGTGCGAGAATGGGGACGGGAACGCGTCGGACGCGAGCGCGATATGAGACATTGGGCACCCTTGCCCGATACAGTTGGGAAACACTGCAGGACTACATGTCTCGGCCCCCCCTCGAAACCGATGTGGTGTGTGCGTAGAATGTAGGAAGTACTACTACGTCATTCCTTATTCGCTCGCCGCCGTGTGGTACCCCGCATCGTCATCGTCGTCTGAGCTCTCTCCGGCGCATGATGGCCCCGCGCGTGGCTCAAGCTTTCCAGTGTCCGCGAGTTTCCTGCGTGCACCCGCCGCCCGATCACGTTCGCTGGCCTCCGCGAGCATCACGTTCATTCGAGCTGTAAACGGAGTGAGACAGCTGGCCAATAGCCTTGCCCGTCTGCAGTTGTCGCAGATTCGCATCAGCACGGGTATCACGCGCATGCAGCCCTGAAAATGACGCACTCCACCCAGAAGCATCCAGGGCCCTGTGGAACGTCTGGCGGCGGGTGTCCTACGGGCACTGGCTCCTCATCAAAGGACCAGTACGCCCACGGCTTGTGGGGCACACCGTGCTCGTCAAGTGGCTGCTTGTGAAGCCACGCCGTTGCTGTATCCACAGTCACTTGTAAGAGATCGTGGATGACGTTAAGTGTCACACGTCGTACGCACTGTGTGTACCGTGCGTGTGATCTTCGCCAGTGCACGCCCACGCCTCATAATAGCGGCCATCGACTGTCGCAACATCAGCACCAGAGTGATTCAGGGGAACCAGTGAGCTTACCGAGAAAGAGATCTGATAGGTCTATACCATGTAGGCGGGACAGACGTAGTGCGTGGTCGGTGAAGAATTTGTAGGATGTGTCGTCTGATATGCTGTATAGGATTTGTTGGCCGATGCACCAACGACCCGGGTCGTTCTGGGATGGAACAATGGTGAATTCCTCACTGCCGAGGATGGGATGATAAAAACGATGCTTTAAGCAGATGGCTGAACAATCCTGACCTCTCGACTGCGTTGTTTGACCAAGTTGAGTGCTTTAACGGGGCCCTACGCTTGTCGTGATAAATCCGACCCTCTTCAGACACAATATCGACTGAGGATTCGAATACATCATCGATATTTCCGAGGTACGTGAAACGGGGGCCGTCGGGGTGATTTGTAATGTAGCCATAGTCGCCCGGCTTGGCATCGTTGTCAGGGATCTCCAGGAGGTGGAACGGTATATGTCTGGCGACGAAATCCCAGAGACGAGAGAAATTGGAATGAGAGACATGGTCGTGCGCCTGTACCAGAGCATCAAAAGTGGACCCCGAGTTGTGCACAACTGGAGCCTCTGTGAATCGTATATGAGCCTGGAACAGAGGTGGAATAGGACAGTCCGTACCGGGAAGGAAGTGCTGCCTAGGATCTCTGTGGGCCTTTATAAAAGCATCAGTAAACGCTAGGATAATGAACATAAGGAGGGTTTTACCTCTGAATATAGGCCAGAGATGCATGTCAATAGACAGGATGCATTCCCACGCTCCAGATCTTGCACATCAAAAATGAGGTGACCATGCGAATCGATTCCGGCGGAAGGCAAACAGGGCCCCTTGTGTGCGGGAATCACTATTTCTGACTGTGAGACATTTGAGATCTTGGGCATGAAAGAGTGAGTGAAGAAAGACAATTACGGAATCTAGGGGAACCAGTGCCCAATCTTCAACGAATTTAACCGCGCTCTGGAGGAGGTTTAATACGGATACATTGCGGATGAATGTGGGCTTACCGTTGCATCGACCAACTGGGACGTTTCCGCTCTTAGCGACCTTTCCTTTGACGATACGAGAAGTGCTCACATGCTGAAAAAGCTTCTGAACCCAAATCACGGGGTCCTTACTGTCGAAGTCTGTCAATATAGATCTTTGTAGACCTGAATATACGTTCAGTAACTGCATGATAAAAGCGGAAAGGGTGCGCTACCGTCCAGGACATAGAATTGGGTTCCGGCCTGAGGGCGAGCCATAGCGATCACATTGCTCAAGGTTTCGTGGGACTCGTGACTATGCGTACTTCAGAAACGCAATCGGACTGCTAAATAGATGAGCACATACTTGTTCTCAGAATACATTTGGATGCTTTCGAAAACGTTCTGTGCGAGAACCATCGGCAAGACGGATCAGGCATTGACTGGACCACGGTACGTACATCCTTGAGCTTGTGACCATACGTGCGCACTGTCACCGGACGAGTACCCAATATAGCGCTGTATTGATAACCGTGGTGGGTCCTGGTTCTGTACGGTATCTTCGTGTGGGCTTCTGTGCGCTGTATATCTGTCAACGGCACGTATCGTACCTGACAGCAGCTGTGAGAATAACGCTGTAGTCGGAAGAGCGGAGGCACTGACCAAGGAGCCGGGTTCGAATGGAGCTTGCGACTCAACCTGGCTCTTAAGCGATTCAACCTGGCGCTCCAGTCGCACCAGGATCGCGGTCTGTGTGGACGTTCCGTCAGCATTTTGCCGGGTTCGACCAGACCACACCTACGTCAAACGAACGCCACGCATCGTCCAGCTTCAGTAGGCATTCCTGCGCCTTCCCGCGAAGCTTTTCCCGTCGGAAGAAACGATTGAAGCGCCCCTTCTCCAGCTCTCGCTTGACTGCGTCTTGCACCTTCACCAGAGCGCTGCATCCCGATCCGGTGACTAAGCCGTTCCACGAGCACGATGAAACCACCCACCTATGTAGCTCCAGCAAGATGACCTGCATGTCCACACCGACCGTCCCTCCGTTCAAGCCCAGAGTCTTCTTTTGAACGTACTCGGCGAGGGTGGCCGCGCGCTCAGCGACAGAGACGAACGCGTCTGTGTTCGCTCTCGATTGCTGTCGTGAGAGATGAGGACGGTGATGAACTCTGAGTAAGGCAGGGACCGACTGTAACACACGAAGAGGAGCGATCCTCAGTCAGTGATAGAACGACTCTATTGAGAGCATAAGTTCTACCTGTAACACACGAAGAGGAGCGACTACAGATAGAGTAAGCATATGTAAGGAGCGCATAGTAGTGTGAATAGACTTACTCCTCAGTCAGTGATAGAACGACTGAAGAGCAGTGCGAGCCAGAGTCCTCCCTATATACTGTCCAGGAGTAGCATACGTAAGCAGTAATGGGAAGACATAATTGGCGCAGAGAACAGACCGGACAGAAGATGGTTACAGGGCTGTGCGGGCTGTGCGCTCAAGACAAAGAAAGTCCGTAAGTGGAACAAGGGAACAAAGAGAGAAGCGTAGAAGAACGGAATGGAAGAGATAAGGAACTACAAGGCAGTGAAGTGACATATGGAACTATGGGAAGTCTCTCACAGAGTCCATGTGGATGCGTAAACTGTCCTAATGTACGTATGTTCGATATCCAATGTTCAACACACCCCCTCGTTCAAGACGCGGATGAAACTAAACCAACGTGCTCGCAGAAGTACTTGAGTATCGAAAGAGGAACTGACTTCGTAAGCGAGTCCGCTAGCTGCTCCGCAGAAGGAACGTGAAAGAGAGTAACTTCGCCTTCCTCGATGTATTCGCGAATGAAGTGGTAGCGGATGTCGATGTGCTTCGTGCGACGGTCAACAGCAGGGTTTTCAGAGAGGAAAATCGATCCCTGGTTGTCCATGCAGAGCGGTGTAGGACTCGACATATCGTCACCAACTTCACGGCCGAAAGTGCGAAGCCACTTCATCTGACGGCAAGCGTCTGACGCGGACATGTATTCCCCTTCGGTGGAGGAGAGGGATACTGTGCGTTGTCGACGAGAGACCCAGGAGAGTGCACCTCCTGCCATCAGGAAAACGAAGCCGGTTGTCGACTTCCTGTCGTCGCGGTCTTCTCCCCAGTCCGAGTCCGAGTACGCGATCATGCCGGCGCCATCCTTTCCATCGTAACGAAGACGATAGTGCGAGGTACCACGGAGGTAGCGAAGGACGTAGCGGGCGTAACGCATGTGATCTTCAGACGGATTGGCGTTGTACTTGGAGAGACGCGTGACAGCGTAGGCAATGTCTGGACGAGTACCGAGCATGGCGTAAAGGAGGCTGCCGATGAGGCTCTGGTACTCCCGACGAAGGGTTGCAGGTGCTTCATCCTGTCGAGCGACGAGGACGCAACCAGCGGGGAGAGGAGTGGACGCAGCGTTGCAGTCAGACATGTTGAACTTTTCGAGGACGGCGTCGATGTACTCTTCCTGGTCGATGTCGAGGATGCGTTTGACGCGATCGCGACGTATGCGAGTACCGAGGAATCTTTGCACCGGTCCTAGATCAGTCATCTTGTACTGCTTGCTGAGAGAGTCCTTGACGAAGTCGATGCGCGTGCGTGAATTGCCCATGACGAGTAGATCGTCGACATACAGAACAATCAGCGTGACTTCGCCTGGAACACCCCCTTGTCGACGATAAACGTAGACTCCGGCATCTGAGTACGTGCGGACAAATCCCAATTTGATGAGCGAGTCGTGGATTTTGAGGTTCCACTGGCGAGAGGCTTGCTTCAGACCGTAGATGGCCTTCTTGAGCAGACAGACGTAGTCCTCTTTGCCAGTTTCAACCCATCCTTCCGGCTGCTCCATATAGATCTCCTCGTCGAGATCACCGTTGAGGAACGCGGTTTTGACATCCATGGCGTCGATATCCCAGTCTTCGAGCGCGGCGTGCGCAAATGCGAAGCGGGTCGACTCGTTCCTTGATACAGGCGAAAAAATCTCGAAGTAGTCTTCTCCCCAGTTCTGCGTATAGCCCTTAGCTACGAGGCGAGCCTTGACTCGACCATCGTGCTTGATGTCATACACCCAATGACATCCGATGACGTTACGACCCTTGGGGCGAGGTACGAGCACCCAGGTTCGATTTTCCATCAACGAGTTGTACTCCGAAGCTTCAGCCTTGAACCATTCATCACTCATAGGAGAGTTATGTGCTTCGCGGTAGGACTGAGGGATGCCTTTCTTGCGCGCAGCGTGATTGATGATAGTGTTGAGCAGATCGAAGTACTCTCGCTCTTCAGCTGTACGTAGCTGTCCGTCTCGTCGTGTCCTGGCGTCGACACGTGCAGGCGGTTCGTCACCATAGAAGTTGTCCCTGTTGCGATGCGGATTCTGTCCTGCACCATGACGCTGAGGGCGCTGAGGTTGTGGTGGAGGACCAGCATCGACATCAGGTACTTCTTCGACAGTAGGATGACGGTTACGACGGTGGTTAGGAGCACGTGGCGGTACACCTGGTACGACGGGAGGCGGAGGCGGAGCTTCGCGCTCTGGTTCAGGCTCGGCATTGGGTGGAGCTTGAGGAGGGTGTGGGACCATAGCAGGTTCCGGAGGAGGAGTTGGAGGAGGAGGTATGAGCTCGACTGGTTCGTTGTCAGGCTCTCCTTCAGGGATGTCCGGGAACGGTGAATCGTCGGGGGTTACACGACGACGCCGGTGGGGTTTTCACGTGCAGGGAAGACGTTCTCATCAAAGTCCACATCGCTAGAGACCATGATGGAGCGGGTAGAGCGGTTCCAGAAACGATAACCCTTGGAACCCTCATAACCAACAAACACAACTTCGAGTGCCTTAGGCTCGAGTTTGTTGTCGCGTTTGTCCCTTTGCACATGTACGACTGCTTTGCAGCCGAAAACGCGGAAGTGGGAACAGTCTGGGACGACTCCGTTCCATGCCGTGATCAGGCACTTTTTAACCGCATTGCTGACGGTGTATGCACCGCAGTGTCGACCACATTGCAGCTGGAACGGACTCTGGATGTGCCCTATGTATTATTTTTGTCTTTTTTGCCTTTTCTCTGCTCTATATTGGAAGTTGTTCCCGCGCTAAGCGCCCGTATCGCGACTCTCTTAGCACTTGCACTTCATGTCCTAGCCTCATTCGATGAGTATACCTGTGTATGTAGTAGCTATGTACCTTGCGAATAGTGAACTGCCGAGTGAGCTACCACAGGGCCTTGTCCATGATGGGTTCCGGTTCCAGCGTTCAGCACGACCGTTTTGCTGCGGCGTTCCTGGCATGGTCATGTCGTGCTCAATCCCAAGTTCTCGAAGAAGTTCTTGGAACTCTGTTGCGGTATATTCACCCCCTCGATCGGATCGTACCTTCTTGATTTTGCGACCAGTCTGTGTCGATACCCAGGCGTAGTATGCTCGGAAAGCTTTCGTCTGTTCCGATTTCGCCTTCAGGTAGTAGATTCGACCAGCACCAGAGAAGTCATCAAGGTATGTTACGAAGTACGTATATCCACCGATAGAAGTGGGCAGTGGGCCGACTAGATCAGTGTGAATCATGTCGCCCGGGGCTTCTGCACGCTTCGGTGATAGAGGGTGTGGTTTGCGCGTCATTTTGCCTTTGGCGCAACCATCGCAAACAGTAGACGGGGGAGGAGCAGGACCAATGTCGTCAACACCTTTGACTGCCTTAGGGAGCTTTTTGATCGCTTCCTTAGAACAGTGACCCCAGCGGTTGTGAATGAGTTCCCAGTCGACAGTAGACGACGACGACTGAGCCGCGGGTTGAGGTTCTGCAGGTTGGACGGGTTGGACGACTTTGCCATTCATTATATCCGTGGGCAGCTGATAGAGGTTGTTCATAGGATTAAACAGAGCCTCAAGACGCATAGCACCAGGGAAAGTCAAGCCAGCGTGTGTGAAGGATGCGTCTGGGACGCGAGGATCGAAAATGACCATTTTCCCATTCCCTGAATGATGAGGTTTCCGGCGTTCTCGATGGCACCAGTTGAGAAGAGACGTGTACCCGCGTTGGGGATGTATACAACGTTCTTAAACTCAACTTTGACGTGGTTGCCGTTGAGATCGATTCGAG